TCATAAGGCTCTCAACCAAAACGAGGTTATAGTAACTCCAATATCCGAACTAAGTCCGCAGAATAGGGATTATGAAATCCCCCTATCTGCACACACCAGCGCCCACCTATCAACACACTGAACGGGTGTCTAATCCCAGGCAGAATTGTGTCTGCAACGGTTGCAGGAATTCGCGTGTGTTATACCCGACAGAGGCCAAGCCACCCAGTGAATCCGAGGATTCGGTGTGGCTCGCGGCAGAGTGAGAATGTCTGGTCGAAGAGGTAATTCAATCCCGCGCATGCGGATCGAACACCAACCTGACTGCTGTCAATTCCAGCACATTGATGTGCAGGTTGTGACTTCGTCTCAAGAGGCTGCAGGTCACCCAGAACATCGCCCTAACCCGGTAGGGATGTATCTGGCTGGACTGAGAGCGACGGTGTCTCCAGGGTGGGGACCTCGAGAGACGCCTGACGCCTGTCCATCTGACTGCATGAGGTTGACAATTCCGCCCAGTTTCAGTAACTGATCGTGAGTCCCCAGACTCAACAGTTATCTGAAACCACGATGAGTCAGTCGCCTATGTACGGGTGACAACACCGGCACTGGCGATCTGGCTATCTGAGCTGTAATAAACCTCAATTTGGTGAACACCCTTGGCACCGTAATGTAGCCTAAGGAGAGCACACGAAACTGGTAGCACGTCCCCGTCAAACAAGAAACCGAAGGTAAATCTTGAAATCAGGGTGCAATGGAACAAGGAGGTACGCGACCTGAGGTCGATTGACGTCGCCAATCCCTGTCTCGGCAGATGAGATCACCGAGCTGGTGTCTCCATCTTGAAGGACAGTACCTCTATAAACTTGTTCACTCTCAGATGAGAATGGGTCTGAACATTCCGTCAGTAATGGCAACTATGAAATAAGTGGAGTCAAACCCCACATATTCCTGACCATTGAAACCACCACACTGGTTGCCTAGCCCAGCAAAGACTGGATCTGGGCACGGAGTATTGTCGCCGCCTCGGAAGCCCGACACAGGAGTGTGTCGCTCCCGGTGTTTGCGGCAGAATATAGTAACCCCAGCAGTCGGCAACTTAACGCTTGCCGATGCCTGGGCACCTGAGGAAGTAACGAAGCTCAACAGACTTCCGTGATTCCTCGAAACTGTCCCGGCGATATGCCCATAACCGCCCCTCATCATTTGACTGGCACAGCTACAATGCAGTCCCTAGCCAGATGAGAGTTGCCCCGTCAGATGCAGCCCAGAGTCGCCCGACGAAAAATTCCACCAGCTCTCTCCCCTTTCCACCAGCTCCCTCAGCAGCTGAGAGATGCGCGAGTGGAGCATACAGCGTTGAGCTGTGAAGGGGAAAGAACGGCAGACTTAAGGGAGAGTGTGAGGCCTTGTCCCGATGCCGCTGGAAGCAGGCTTCCCTCGGAGGCTTAACTCCAACGGTTCGGTAGTCGACATGGACAACACCTGAGGCAACACAGCCGCGATTCTATCTCGCACTTGCCCTCAGGGACGAACCTACTTAGTGGTAAGTTCAAAGTAGCGAAATGAGCCGAAGCTCAAATCGACTTGTCCACTGTACGAGCCTGAACCCCGATTCCGAGGCACATGTGAGAAGCCTGACAATCAAGGTTTCACAAGCACTCAGACAGACCTCGGAGCGGCGAGGTGACAGTCACACCCGGCACACTCGATGGCATCTAGGTCAATACGTCGATAGACATCAGGCCGAGACCTGAACTACCGGAGTCGGGAATCTGCGCCCTACCAGTGCCGAAGCCTGGGTCGGCGCTACCCACGGGGTTCAGAGAATCCGCAGAGCCGAAGCTCAGCTGTTCTAGACCGAACCCCGATCCCGAGACACGTAGGAGTAGCCTGATAAATCAGGTTTCCCCAAGTACTCTCAAAAAGCGCACTGAGCGTATAGTCAAACATAGCCTATAGCGCTATATAAATACCCATACATACACATGTATGTACGTCAGTGCTCGGGTCGGCGGTTCGAGTTCGAACCCCGATCCCCAACACATGGGAGTGGCCTGACAATGCAGGGCTCCCCTGGTGTAAGTGCATCGGTAGACCTCGGGCGCGCCGAGGTGATCGGCAGCTCGTCACACTCAACGGCCGCTTGGCCAGGGCATCGATAGACATCAGGCCGAGACCTGAGCTAACAGCCGGGGATCTGCTCCGTGAACGGGCCGAAGCCCAGGTCGGTGCTAGTCCGATCTGCAGTCCCCGACACAAAGGGAGTAACCAGGCAATGCAGGTTGCCCCTGGTGGACACAGGTAGACCTAGGGAGCGCCGAGGTGATCGGCAGCTCAGTGGAACCCAGACCGGGCGCCGAGAGGAACCTGCCGATATACAGGTTTCCGGCAACCCGACTGACCACGCGTGGCGCCGAGGTGTCCTCGAAGCTGGTCGGCGCTAGGCTTACCGCCAGTCAGGGCACCAGGGCAAAACCTGCAGGGCTTAAACCTGCATCGCCGGGCGCCAGGCGCTTCGTGACGCAACCTGAGCCCGAAGCTAGGTCGCCACAAGGTGCGGCGAGGTGTCCCCGAGCTGGTCTGCGCTTAGGCGACCGCCAGTCAGGGCACCAGGCTGGCAAGACAGGGCAAAACCTGCATCGCCGGGCGCCAGGCTCGCGTGACGAACCTGAGCCCGAAGCTAGTCGCCACAAGGTGCCGGCGGCACACCATCACCTGAGCCGGCCAGGATCAAGCTGCCTGGGAGGAGGCGCGCTCTCGAGCCAGAGCTCAGGCCGTAGCCAACCCCCCAGATGCGTCCGATCCACCACGACGACAGGCGTGCTGAGCTCTCTTTGCGGAACCCAGATAGCACCGTGTCAATCGGGCGGGAATTTCACCACAGACGACACCTGGTGAACTTACCTTCGAGATCAGCACTTTATGCGAGCCGAAGCTCCTTACGAGCCCGGACATCGCTATCAATCATCGAATTGACATTATGTTGAAGAATATGTTGCTGCAATAGTGAAGCAAATTGAGTCATATTTAAGTCAGCAACATTGTTTATGGGGAAACGATAAAGGATTTCCTTAGAAACCTTTTATCAAATATTATCCCCATACCTGGAAGCAGATTAGTGAAAACATAAAATCTGCGTGTGTCGAAAGAATGCGCGGAGGCGCAGAAACCCAGACAAAAACACAACCTCGCCTATGAGCCACGTTGTGTGTAAACGTATGAAATATGTATCATAATACAACATAATGTAACAGGAATATTGACGCAAGGGCGTTTATTATGGGCATCCTTGATCGTCGTGGCGCCCTCGGCTAAACACCGAGGCACACTTTATAACCATCCTGTGGCGGTAGTGTGCATGGCACAACGCACAGGGCTTAAACTGCAACAAACAGAACCACGCCAGTGTTACTAGCAGGAACTGTGAAGCCGCAAACACATAAACACAAGTAATAGCAAGAATAATCCGCATGGGCAAATATAAATGCTACAAGCTACAGCCATTTAAATACTAAACATACAATGCAAAGCAGAAAAAAGGCTAGCCAGCCCTGCGTGTACTAGTGATAGAGTAAAGTTGAGTGATACTTAAACGAACACTATCAAAATTACTCAACAACGACTTACCACAAATTCGCTGAAAGAAAGAGAATTTAGGCAAAGCCTACCATATAATATGCAAACATAATATATGAACTCCCTACTACAAGCTACCAAGAACATATAGCAAGGAAACCACGATCGGGCTGTCCGCCATTTTGCCTGCCACATGGATGGAAAACAGAGAACCCACGGCAAAGTTACAACAAAAGATGAATGAAAATATCCACATATGACGCCCATCTAACGCCCGTATGCGAGAGAAAGGAACCATACATACAGATTGAGACTCTTTACACTCATCGTTATCGGTAGGAGAGCAAACTCGAAACGAACACCACGCACGTCTATTCAACAGAACGACAGCATGAAAAGTGAGGTATGAGGTAGACGGCAAGAGTTACCTGCTCTTGGCTGTGTTGGTCCGGTGGGGCCCTGTAGGGGTGGTCTCACAAGACAAAACGAGTTTTTTGTTTTGTAAATATTTTATTAAAAATATGGTTACAACTGTCGTAGGATTTAAAATGGACATTTTAATGCTTATATGTACCCCAAGGAGGACTTCTTCAGAAAAAGAATACTAACCCCACCTGTAACATTGAAAAACCACACGGGAAACTAATGAACAGTGATGCTAGCGAAGGTACCTGGCCGCCATCTTGGCACGCACCCGGCGAGCCGACCGCGACAGGTACCAAATTACAACTAAAAATTATGAATGAAAAAGTTCAGAGCAAGTCTTCAAATCGCCCATGCAGGGAAAAAAGAGAACCATACATACAATTGCTGTTTCTGACCCACTCATAATTCTCGACGGGAAAAGAAAACTTTCTTGTAATGGACCCACGTCTATGTCGGGAAACGACAGCATGGAAAGTGAGGTGCGAGGTTACGGTCTAGAGTTACCTGCTCTTGGCTGTAGGGGGCCAGAGGGCCCTGTAAGGGTGGTCTCACAAGACAAAACGTAGTTTTTGTTTTGTAAATATTTTATTCAAATATTGTTACAACTGTCGTAGGGATTTTAAATGGACATTTAAATGCTTATAAGTACCCCAAGGAGGAATATATAAAAAAGAATCTGCGTTGATTGAAGCTGCTGCGGTGTAGAAGAAGAGTTCGCGAACGCTGATGAGTTGTGTAAACTTCAAGGGATTCAAGTGTTCCACTACCATTCGCAAGGGAAGGGAGATAAGCAAAAGATCATGAGTCAGGATAAGAAAAAATAAGTAGGGGAATTTCATTTGTAATTTGATTGAAAAATTGGGAGATAATGTTGATATGATAATACTGAATGTTTTGAGAGTGCATCACCACTTGCACTTCCTTATGACCATTGTTGTTTGTACAGTAATTACTCTTGAAAGATGATTGCAATATGATAGATTTAGTTCCGCTAGAACTAAAGTGAGAGAACTCACCTCGTACACAGGATGTCCTCGTGTAGACTGCCCTGACATCTCTGGCACTGGGTCCACAGTCGGGAGAACTTCTCCTCCAGAACTTGCAGCTGCAGGATCTCTTTCTGGTAGAGCGCTGACTCCTGACTCTTGCAATGCTTGCACACAGACACTCCTGCACATAGAAAATGGCAGCAGAGTTGGTCAGTCAGTGCATCTTTTCAGGAAATCATATTAATTTTAGTGTGCCACATTTTGGTGTAACCTTCTGATGATAATTTCAAACCCTTTGCTGCAAACATTCCAGTACCTTGAGGCAGCTTGGGTAGCATGATTCCCAAGGAGTTGAGAATGTAATTAGATTGCATCATCATCATCATCAAAGTCAATTTTTGTTTACACTGACCTGCTTGGGGTACAGCGTCGTGAAACTAAACTCACTCACTCAGTCTACTCACCTTCCACACTGAGTGGGGTCTTGCAGCCGATACAGGTGCTCTTCTTCTTGGTGAAGGCTGCCAGACCACCCACCTTTGATGCTACCACTGTCTTTGTTCGGGTGTGGTCACCCTCTGGGAATACACAAACATAACCGATCAATCATCGAAAATAATTGGTTAGCGTCATTTATGAAATGTGTTAATGCACAAAAAAATAAGGAAAAAAACATGCAGTTCTTTGGGTTTTTTGGAAAATGTTCACATCTTTAAAGGATGACTAGTATTGAGGAACATTTTTATCAGGCCATAATCTTGAATGATTTAAAGTGTTATAACTTAACAAGTCGGAGAGATTGGTATAGTTTCAATGTGACCACATGAAAATTCACTAGCCAGTCGGGCCAGTGACTATGGAGCTTTACTGGCCCACCTGGATTTTACAAAGCCACGGGCTAGCATTCCAGTGGCTATTTGACACACTGGATAAAGGCCCACTGAATCCCCGGGACTTTCTCGAACGACCCGTCAGGTCAATACACAATCTTAATTGTCACCACTATACTTACTCAGCAGGACGGACTCGGCTTTCTTTTCCCCTAGGATGGGCTCGAAGATCCTCAGTAGTGGTTTAGACAGTTGATTTTCCAGATAGTACTGTGTGTCAATCGGGATGTTGTTTTCCAGGACGTATATCGGATCCTGGGAATAGATGGAGGAGTTGGCAGCCTCAGGAATTGGTTTTTGCAAAACAAGTCCAGATGAGGACTAGGCAGAATTTTGTTAAAAGAAAAAAATAATGATGTTTCATATTTTTAATATCCAATCATCACGAGGCACCAGTTTACCTCTAGCCTGAGCTGTTGACAAATTTCATCCTGAAATATTGAACAGTTTTGGAGTTTATCTGGAAATGAACACTTCCTCAATTACGAACAGCATCAGCAGCTTGTTACTAATTCTAACCTGAAAGAATCATGGCCAACCAATATGGCAGCATTGACCCTTTCGCTGAGGTTTAATGTTTGTTTTCAGTATTGTATTGTGGTACAACCATAAACCATTCATACACTTACCACTTATCATGTATTTAAATATATGTGTTACCTCGGACTTCATGTATGCTGCTGTGCCCTTAGCTGCAGCGATGATGACGTACGGCACTCGGTCTCCCAGCTTGGGGGCGTTTCCTGCATCACGCTTCTTCATCCTGTCAGGACAGTGATTGATTGATTGATTGACTGATTGATTGATTGATTGATTGAGCAAACAAATTTCCTGACCTCGGCAGTTTGAAGCGGATTAAATTGTCAACAGCTATTTTTGTTGCAATTGCCATTTTGTCTTAGATCTTGACATTTTCCAAATTATGCTAAAAAATCCATACAATATACAATATAAATCCATACAATGTGTGGGAAAATCTTCAACAAATTCAAGTTAATTGTTTCTTTGCTGATTTTATAGTTTTCGTATTTAGCTGAGTTGAGTCGTGCCATTATTCAAGTTTTAACAAATATCCCCACATGTAAGAGACTTGTCAACTTCAAGAATAAATACTGACGTGTGAACCACTTACTAGCAAGAGGTCAAATCTAAAGAATATCATTCTTGCAGATAAGTGAATATCAGTCATTAATATATAACCCTCCTTTCACTGATTGGTCACCATCTTATAAAAATGCTCAAATGTAACTTATGTCATATTTGGGACTAAACTTTCTTTGTAAAAATTTTTTCTGGGAGGGTGAAAATAAGTATTGTATAACCTTTGTTTCTCTGATGGACACCTTTTTAAAAAGTCAAATGTAATATCATATTTTGGATATTACATCGTAAATAAAGCACAAACTCTTTTTAGAGGGCTGCATCTCAGCCGGGATTTGAACCCAGACTGTCGGAGTAGGTCACCTTCTCCACTTACTTGTTTGCCAGTTCCACATGTGCCTGTTTTCCTGCATAGTCGTCGTCAGTCTTTGTCAACTCCTTGGTGATGACGAGTTGCGAGATGTCCACGCGATTACACAGGAGGTCTGAGATCGTCTGCTTCACGTGCTGCACAGCGCCATCTGGATCTCTGGAACAAACCCAGATGATAGTCAGTAGAGCTGTGTATTGTTGCCTAAGTGGCGAGACGATATATATTTTCCGATACCAGTTTAATGATATATCATGATAAGACGATATATCATGAAAGTATTGGCAATGAACCTGCCAGACAATTATCATCACGATACAATGATGGTGATACGATACGTATCCCGATACTTTACAATTTCTAAAAACAGAACATACATGATAGATAAAATGACTGAATCTTTATTTGTTATACAGCAGAACTTGTGTTACATTCACACACACTTAAAAAGCTGTTCAGCTAATAAAGTTTCAGCATCTAATGCTTAAGGACGTCCAGTCAAACATATTCGGTATACCTTAATCTAATATATATAAGTTTGCAACTGAAGTTTCCCTTGAGAAGTTGTTTCTGCACCAATGCTTTCACACACAATTCAAGGTAATTTATATCAGAATTCAGAATCATTACAAAGTGTGCTTTCTAAATTTTATCTTCTCTTTCTTAGCAAAGCTGAGACATCGTTCATAGTTGCTAATAGTGCTATTTGTCAAACAACTATAACATATTTCAAACACATGAAGAGAAGTATTCTTCAGTTCACAGTGTTCACACTCTTTCACTTATACACCAACTCCTTTGTTCATGTAACGAAGATAGCAGACACAAACACATTCCTATAAGGTTTAATTTGTTTTAAAATTCAGGAGACTTTCAAAGAGACTCCCTTCCTTTTCCTAATGCAATACTCCCTACAACTTTAAGTAGTATTTAAGTTGTATCGGGATATATCGTCTCTTGTGGCGATACATCAATGTATCATCCACCGTCGCGATATAAATATCTTGATACATTGCCTCAATGTGTTTTGTATCGATGCACTCGTATCGGGTAGTTGACGATGCAAACATCGATACTATCGAAGAATTGTTACACCACTAATAGTCAGCCAGGCATTGGGAGTTTGATGTTTCACTACACAGGTTTAATTAAGCATATTCTATTTACAAAGTGAAAATGATCCCGACAAGTTCTTAAAAGTTATAAAACCCCTCACCAAGAATATTTTCAATAACAATTGTCAGCTCAAGCAGTCATTAGAAACAGAGGTAGATTGACGGTTCAGGGGAAATATTACAATACAAAAAGTACAGAGAAAAACCCTGTTTTGATTGACTCATATACAGATGTACACTTTTGAACATAATTTATTATACAGCTAACAATGTTTTGGATGTTCTTAAGCCCATATGCTTGTCAGGAGTTTAGTGCTATCCAAGCTGGACTACTGTAACAGTCTTTTATGTAACATCACCAAAGAATAGATGTCCAGGCTTCAGCGCATTCAGAATTCTGCCGCAAGGATATTTACACGATCAAAGATATCGGTGCACATTAGTGGTGGTCCGATTAATTGAAATAATCGAAGATTGGTCGCAATGACAAAACGACCAAGCAATCGATCATGTTTTCTCATAATCGAACACAAACAATTTGGAACACTTGTTTGCAATAACGATATTTTTCACAAGGTTGGTTTTGTCTGTTACATTTTATAAACATTACAAGCTCGTTCCAATTCATGATTGAATTTATTTTAAAGTCTCCATGAAGTTCATGTTCCTAACATACCAGTCATCCTTTAAAGATGTGAAATTTGCAAATGCATTCTGTGCAATTTGCAAAAAACCGAAAGAACTACGTTTTTTTCTTTATTTTTTTGTGCACAAACATAACCATAAAAATGTAATAAATGACGCTAACCAATTATTTATGATGATTGATCGGTTGTAATGAACCAATCATCAATTATGAGATTTAAAAAAATTCCCAACACTTGTGCACATCACGCCCATACTGATGAAACTGCACTGGCTACCTGTTGATGCACGTGTTCAGTATAAAGTGCTTGCACTGGCTACCTGTTAATGCACGTGTTCAGTATAAAGTGCTTGCACTGGTCTATCAGTGTTATCACCAGTCAGCACCTTCCTACCTGTCAGAACTCACACAAGTCTACCACCCATCTAGAGTCCTCTGATCTGCCCAACAACATCTCTTCTCTGTTCCAACCCCACGTCTGGACGATTTGGTCAGAGATCATTTACTTACAATGCCACCACTTTCTGGATAAACTCCCAGATCATCTTAAAGGAATCCCTACTCTTCAAATGTTCAAAGACACGTCTCAAAACATTTCTTTTCACTCTGTTCTATAACCTCTAATCATTTCTAGTCGCGATCTCTTAACCTCGTGATGTCAGAATCTCTTATGTAGCGCTATGAAAATACACTTTGTGTCTGGATTTGGCGCATCATAAATGTACTTATCCAGCCTCCTGTAAGAATGTCGAGTTTATGATTGGTTCACGTGACTCTGATAAAATACCATGTACACCCATCACGATCCGCGAGCAGGGAGTACAAAAGTCGTATTATCCCGCCACGCCGCGGTGACCACGTGAAATGAGAAAAGTGTGCATCGCCAAGTCTTTAGTAACGTGCGCTGCATTGAGGTCAATCGATCAGCTGTTGTCAACATGGCATCTCACATATTTAAATACAAGTCGATTCGATGCGTATTGTTTTCTTTTGATTTAGTAAAAACATTCGGCTAGATAAATGCGTTATCACATCGTGTCTTGGGAAATACGGGGTTTTATCAGTCCCGAGTACGAGTACTCGGGACTGATAATACCCTGTATTTCCCGAGACACGATGTGAAAACTTATATTATTATATGAAAACTGTGACCAGGGAACAATCCAATCGTAGTGAAAGAAATCTGGTGGTTAAAACTAACACCAACATTCCATGCAGTCAAGGTAAGAAACGTCTGATCATCTCATGCCCTTTTACGATTTCTTACAAACAGACTGGAGAGTCTGTATCATCCAATCACCTTTAACCTTTCTAACAAGCAACAAACAGGAAAGTCACCTAGCAGTTTTCCCACTATATGACTGAGGCGACTAACAGGATCGGATTGTCAGGCTCGCTGACTTGGTTGACACATGTAATCGGTTCCCAATTGCGCAGATCAATGCTCATGCTGTTGATCACTGGATTGTCTGGTTCTGGAGCATTTACTTTCTGCCAGGAAAAAGTAAGTGATGATTCTTTATGCTTCTGTTTATTACTGTTCCCCGACCGTGTCCAGATTCGATTATTTACAGACCGCCGCCATATAGCTGACATATTGCTGAGTGCGGCGCAAAACTATAACTCACTCACTCACTATAGGAAAGTCACCCAGCAGTTTTCCCACTATATGACTGTGGTCTGGATCTGATAAATCCATCGATCTACACAACTGATAAATCCAGTCCTTGACATCATAATCATCGATCTACACAACTGATAAATCCAGTCCTTGTCATCATAATCATCGATCTACACAACTGATAAATCCAGTCCTTCACATCATAATCATCGATCTACACAACTGATAAATCCAGTCCTTCACATCATAATCATCGATCTATACAACTGATAAATCCAGTCCTTGACATCATAATCATCAATCTACACAACTGATAAATCCAGTCCTTGACATCATAATCATCGATCTACACAACTGATAAATCCAGTCCTTGACATCATAATCATCGATCTACACAACTGATAAATCCAGTCCTTCACATCATAATCATCATCGATCTACACAACTGATAAATCCAGTCCTTGACATCATAATCATCGATCTACACAACTGATAAATCCAGTCCTTGACATCATAATCATCGATCTACACAACTGATAAATCCAGTCCTTGACATCATAATCATCAATCTACACAACTGATAAATCCAGTCCTTGACATCATAATCATCGATCTACACAACTGATAAATCCAGTCCTTGACATCATAATCATCGATCTACACAACTGATAAATCCAGTCCTTATCATAATCATTGATCTACACAACTGATAAATCCAGTCCTTGTCATCATAATCATTGATCTACACAACTGATAAATCCAGTCCTTGACATCATAATCATCGATCTACACAACTGATAAATCCAGTCCTTGACATCATAATCATCGATCTACACAACTGATAAATCCAGTCCTTCACATCATAATCATCGATCTACACAACTGATAAATCCAGTCCTTCACATCATAATCATTGATCTACACAACTGATAAATCCAGCCCTTCACATCATAACCATCGATCTACACAACTGATAAATCCAGTCCTTGACATCATAATCATCGATCTACACAACTGATAAATCCAGTCCTTGACATCATAATCATCGATCTACACAACTGATAAATCCAGTCCTTCACATCATAATCATCGATCTACACAACTGATAAATCCAGTCCTTGTCATCATAATCATTGATCTACACAACTGATAAATCCAGTCCTTCACATCATAATCATCGATCTACACAACTGATAAATCCAGTCCTTCACATCATAATCAACGATCTACACAACTGATAAATCCAGTCCTTGACGTCATAATCATCGATCTACACAACTGATAAATCCAGTCCGTGACAACATAATCATCGATCTACACAACTGATAAATCCAGTCCTTGGCATCATAATCATTGATCTACACAACTGGGATACAATGATATAATTGGGTATAAATGGCACCTTTTTTTTCCTACACACTAAAGTATTACTTACATCGCTTCATTTCATTTTGAAATTGTTTCTTATCGAAACTGAGTTTGGCTACCAGGAATATATCCCAAGGGGATCAAAAGACCTTCAAAAGCTAAGAGTCTTGTCAAACTTTTGTTTCTGTTTTTTTCTATTCCAAAGGTCATCAATTGATGGCCAAAATGTTTAAAACAGAACCATGACCCTGCCCCTCCCAAGTTTCCATGGCAACGTACCTATCAATCAGCAGCAGTTGTAGACACATGTTGATGAGGTTGGCAACGAGGGGTCTGTTGTCTCGACGCACCGTCTCGATACCCTTGCAGTCCATCTTGTCATGTTTGTCGGGTTCGTCCAGAACAGACCAGCATAACGCTTCTTGTTGATCAGAAGATATGGGAAGTAAACCTACAGGGAGAAGATGAACATGCCTCAGAACGTTTCCATATTTTCAAATAATGAGTGAGTGAGTGAGTATGGTTTTATGCCGCTTTTAGCAATATTCCAGCACTATCACGGCGGGGGACACCAGAAATGGGCTTCACACATTGCACCCATGTGGGGTGCGGACGCTTTAACCATTAGGCTACCCCACCGCCCCTTTCAAATAATGAAGATCATTTAAGCTCAAATCGGCCATTTCCCAACTAGTAGTGTAACAATACAGTGATAGAGTATTCTACCACGATATGTGGTTCACGATACAGTGATAGAGTATTCTACCACGATATGTGGTTCACGATACAGTGATAGAGTATTCTACCAGGATATGTGGTTCATGATACATTGATATAACACTCCTGTATGGTAATTCTTATGCTACATTGCAAGTTATATTAACGTAAAACCATGTTAAAAGTAACAAAACTGTTCAAGAACCAGTATTTCCTGGTTGGCTATACAAAGCAGAATCTTCGCAGTGCCCCCAAGATCTTATAGTTCTACGATACAATATCTCAGCTTTGTTTTTCTGAAATATATAAACAAATGCATCAGGGCTGTGATTCACCTGCAAAAATGGACATAATATGAACTCAGTATATGATGTACATTAACAGTTTGTGAAACTTATCACACCGATATTATCGAAATGTATTTTATTGGGGCCTGACTGCTTTGTTACAACTCCAGGGATTGCCTGAATCTGTATATAACTAAATTACTCTGTAATGGCCACTGTAATGGCCAACATGTCTTGGAACACTCAGCTTTCCAATTTTATATGTGTTATTTAACTATTTTTTTTTAGTGAGTGAGTGAGTTTAGTTTTACGCTGCACTCAGCAATATTTCAGTTATATGGCAGCGGTCTGTAAATAATCGAGTCTGGACCAGACAATCCAGTGATCAACAGCATGAGCATCGATCTGCGCAATTGGGAACCGATGATATGTGTTAACCAAGTCAGTGGGCCTGACCACCCGATCCCGTTAGTCGCTTCTTACGACAAGCATGGGTTACTGAAGACCAATTCTAACCCGGACCTTCACAGGTCTATTTTTTAAAAGTAGTATTTAGTCATCAACATAACTAATGGTATCAATATCCCAACACTATTTCTACCTTCTCAAACTCTAGCTTGATGGGGCTGACAAACTTGGCAGAGATGACTTCTGCTGCTTCCTTGCCAAGATCCATTGCCTCGGCAACCGTCTCCACACCGAACTTGCACATCACGGAGTCCGTGTCGCCATAGATAACCTGCAGGAGTATACGTTTCTCAGTTCTCACCACCAACCAACGATCGAAATTACAACGGTCCTTAGGTCCTAAGCTGACTGAAAACCACTCGGACCCACAGCTTTTGTTTTCTGTAGGTCCTTATGGCCGACAGCTTTTTCATCCCCAATAACTACGACTATTATTTCCAGGGCTCCAGATAATTTTTCAACATCAGGAGTATGTACTCCTTATTTTTTCAATATAGGAGTACTGGAAAACTTAACCAAACCTGCAGAGGTTTTCAATTCTTTGAAGAGAGTCGTCCTTGGGGTACATATTATGCATTTTCCGGCTGAAAAATGTCCTGTGACAGTTGTATCAATGTTTTTTGAATAAAAAGATTGTACAATAAATAAACTCTTTTATTTATTATAACGGACCCTACCTCCACGGAGCGCATGCTAACTGGGTAGGCTCCTGGGACCCGTCATCATCATTCCTTCTGCTGGAATCTTATCAGTGAACAGAATTAGCGAGAGGTGGAGGCCCTACCAGCGATCTGACTCTCTTCAAAGAATTGAAAACCTCTGCAGGTTTGGTTAATTCTTTTCAGAGAGATCGATCGCTGGGGTACATATTATGCATAAACACAGACTCCCAAAGACCGGAGGCCAGGGAGGAGGGAATTCTGTCCAAGCACACTCAAAATATAGCGATCAGATATCATGGAAAAAATTGAACAGACAGCCATAACACTCACCTGTCACTGACCCAGTTTAGCTTCCCGAGAGGCATTATGGGAGGGAACTGACAGGGAGGATTTGTCCAACTCAAAGATCTACCTCTAGCATAATGAGACATTGCACGAGTGCTAATATCAACGAAATCCGACCCACTAAAGGCGGCTTCTTTCATGAGAGCACGTGGGGAAAACAAAAATACCACTCACTAGCGATACAGTAACTCCGTGAGAGAATCGAAGGGGGTACAGGTTCTCTGGAGTGAGCTCATTAGCGAACATGTCAATAATGGAATCTTATTGTACAGTAGCGCCAAAACAAACCAATAAACCAAGACTCACTTTCGGTCAGGGTGGCAGGACACTGTCCACTGGAAGAACGGGCGGCCAAAGTTTTGCATCGATTACGGGAATGCGTGATCGAGCTGATAATGGCGTATAACGCGTGCTTGGCCGGCTCCAAATAGCGGGCGGAGCAGATCTCTTCAATGGGGAGGCCGATGCAAAAAGCTTTGATGGCTACTGCCCTGACCGAAAGTGAGCCTTCAACCCCTCAGGGGAGGCTTGCCCTTAGCCTGATACGGGCACAAATACCGCGATACTTTCAGCCAGCGAGACAAAGTCTGCTTCGTTTGGCGAACCAGCCTTCCGCCACCGTGGAACAACAGAACAGCTGGGTACCGTGACGGATCCCCTGCGCTCGCTTTTGAGATAGACTTTGAGCGCTCTTAATGACATCCAACGGGTGAGTGCTCAGTAGAGTGGTCCCCTGATGTGGAAGGCTGGGTAAAGTAGGAAGTTCGATAGGAGCTGTCACATGAAAGCGTGATCACCTTCGGTCGGGTAAGTATCTGGGAGGCGAATACTGACACGATCCGTGTGAAACACAGTCAGCCGGTCGGACGACATAGCATGTAAATCCGACTCTTCACCAGATGTTACCGCCACCAGAAAACAGCTTTCCAGGTCAACAACTGAATGGAAATAGCCGATAGGTGTGAAAGTGGGACGGACAGCCAATCGAAACCATCGACAAATCCCAAAGGTGGACTGGTTCGCCTGAGAGCAGGTCGAATCCGTTCCATGCTTGAAAGCGCTGCATGAGGTGCTGCCCCAGAAGAGCACCATCGACAGGGGTGAAAAGTGGAAATAGCGGTGGAGTAGCTAGCGGCGAATGGTCGAAGCCGCCAGGCCTTCTTCCAAACGAGCTTGCTTGCAAAACTCCAAAACTTCGACTAAATCCGCAGAAAAGGGATCTGCAATCCCCTTATCTGAACACCAGCGCCAGCGCATAGCGGGACCACCTATCCTCGCACTGAACGCTTGTCTAATCCCGCCTCGAAGCCAGAATTGTATGCCTGCAACTGCTGCAGGAATTCCAGCGTGCCTCCGAGGTTAGACCTGACCAGAGGCTGCCACCCACTGAATCCGTGGATTTGGGTGGGGCGCCCGTTCTGAAGTGAGAATGTCCGGGTCGCAAAGGTAATAGAACAGGAGGCTGAGCCAGAAACCTGAGAATTACCGGAAACCAGCTCTGTGACGGGCCAAAGCGGTGCCAGTAGCACAAGTAGCCGAGCTGGCTGGGTGGACAGCTGTGAAAGGACATCGAGGGAATGAGTGGTAATGGCGGGAGCGCAGAGCACTTTGCCCGGCCCAATCCAGCAGGAAGGCGCCGCAGCCAACGCCTGGGTCCGGTATCCGAGAGCAGAACATCGGTATTGATGCGCCCCGCCGCTAAAACAGATCCACCCCGAACGACCGCACAACTGGGAGATTACTGTGAATATCTGCCTGTCGAGCATCCACTCGCGGCGGGCCAGGATCCGCGAGCATCTGCTCGCATCGCGTTCTCAGCCCGGAGATAAACAGGGAGTACCTGACAATGCGCATCTGGTGGCTTCCAGAGGAGAAAGTCCCACGCTTCGGAGGAGCGCTTGGGGACACCGCGCCTCCCTGCTTCAGGATATACGACATGGCCGTCCTGGTTGTCTAACTGAAGACGGACTACCTGGCCACCGGACATGCTCTCTGAAGCCAATAATAAAACGCTGCAGCTCTCGAGTTCCAACACGCTGATGTGAAGGTGAGCCGGAGCTTCGAAGCCGACAGACTGCCCAGAACGCCCCCAGCCCGCTGGAGGGACGCATCTGTCTGAACTGTGAGAGCTGGCGTCGATTTCCAAGGGGAACCCCCTGGTGAGATTCCCCGACATTTGTCCACCACTGAAGGTGAGGTGTCAACCACTGGGACTGTGAGACTCGCGCTCCAGATCCTCCGTGTGAGTCCACAGCCGAAAGCCAAAGCTTGCTGTATGGGATAGCGATCCTCAACCGCTACCGCCACACTACAGAGATCGTCGCCATGGGCGTGGCCCAGTAGTAGACGGAGCCAAGTCCGTGCTGGTGCCTGGGGCTGGGAGAGGAATGAAGAGACCATCTCCTAACTCTGGTGACCTCGGTCGAGGCGACAAAGGAAACGTAGATCCTTGTTGTTAGTTTGGAATCGCTCCAAGAAAACCAAGTCCTGGGTGGGTACCAGGTCGGATTTCTTGAGGTTGATGATCCACCCCAGTCGAAGTTAGGAATGTCTATCACTGTGTGAGTAGCATCTTGACTGGGCTGGCTGTGTTAGTGCTCGAGCAACCAGTCGCTCTAGGTAAGGGTAACAACGCCTTCCTTTGGCGAGCGAGCTAGGGTAGCTGGGACTAACATGAGCTTGGTGAACACCCTTGGGGCAGTCGATATGCCGAAGGGGAGCACCCTGAATTGGTAATACATCCCCACCGTGAAGAGAACCGGAAGGTACTGCTTGAACGAGGGATGTATGGTATACATGCAGATACTGCGCATCCTTTAGGTCGATTGACGTGGAGCCAATCGCGCCGGGCTGAACAGAATGAGATCACCGAAGCGCAGTGTCTCCATCTTGAAGGATGGTACCGAGCATCATTCAACCCCTTGAGGTTGAGAATCGGACGAACCCGCCGCTCTTTCTTCGGGGCGAAGAAATGCGTGGAATAAAATCCCCGCCTGTTCCTCTCCCGGTGGAATCGCGGATGCGGACTTGTCCAGCAGAGCCTGAACTCGTCGCTGCCAATATGTCCTCTGGCTTGACATGACGGCACCGGGCAGTGCCGCGGCGTATGCCGTGAAGTCGGGCGACCTCGCTTCCACAGTGGGAGATGGCCTATGCTGACCGTGGCCAGCACCTGCTTGTTGGTAGCCTTCTCCCCATTCCGCAGGAATAGAGAGAGCTGCCTCCCACTGGGATATGGGGTAGGAGCGGCGGTGTAGCACCGAGTAGCTGAGCTGACTGCGTGACACCGCGGCTTGAGCGGCAAGCCTGATGGGTTAACGGGAGGTCGGGCAGACTCCCGGCTCCAGCCAAAGGCTGGGAGCTAGTCGAGGACTGCTCCTTGCCCCTACCCTTGGCGACCTGTTCCTCCGCCACCCCTACCAAGCGGCGGGCAAGCCACGGCAGACTCGGTGTAGGCTGCACCCGGCGGAGGAAGGTAGCGGAGGAGCTGGGCCAGACACAGCTGGGTGCTCCAACAAGGCCTTAGAGTCCTTGAAGGAGGCTAGCTACAGCGGCAGCCTCCCCATGACCTGCTGGGCCCCAGTGGAAAGAGGGTCGCACTCCAGACGAAAGGAGGGCCAGCAAGGTCTGCTGTGTTGCTGCCGAGTACCACAGACGCCGACAGCCACCGCGAAGCGATCCCCATGACCGCGCCATATCACCGCCGACGAAAGCAGACCGCGCAGAGGGCCGCAGGTGATCCTTGCACTTCCAAAGCCAGACGGAGCCGCGACATAGCGGCGACACGCCGCCAGCATGCTCCCTCCGCCCAGGGGCCGAAATTCCACTCGAACCGGGTGAGGTAGGCCTCATGGACCACCACCGCGCCTGCTGCATCGCTGCGTTCCGCAGACCTCCTCACAGGGGTCCGCACTGCGTGTGCCGCGATGCCTGCAGAGGGCAAAGGTGGAGTTAGCGCTCTTGCCGAGCAGCAGCCGAGCTGTTCGAGGAAGCCGAGCTCCCCAGGGCGACGTGAGTGAAAACACATTCGTCAGCAAATTTGGTACAACTTAACAGGGAATCCTCCCCGTGCTGGTAGAAGGCCGCACAGACGAAGTTCAGGTAAGTCAAACCTTACCGGCACCAGACAAGAGGGGATCACCACGCCCAGACCAACGCATGGCAGAATGCGAGCTGCGCTCTGCGAGGGTTGTTTTAGGGTAAACGCCAGGCAAGCTGGAACTCAGTCGCAGTCCACGCTACCAGCAGGCACCGCTGCCTGGGTAGGCCTCGGCAATTTCTCGCCGACCTCCCGCAGCAGCCGGCAAGCAAACGGAAGCCGCCAGCATGCCTCGACCTCCCCTAAGCTCCATTGCCTCGGGCACCGAGCCCGAAGCCAGAGGCTGGCCCCTCCGTAGAGGACCCAACCCCGCACCGGGTGGACACTCTAACGCTTAGGAACCAGGAAGGGAAGAACAGACAGACTGCTCCATCGCCAGCCAGCCGGCGTAAGGTGGACCTCGTCCGGCGACTCGCTGGAGGCAGGCCAGGCAGAACTGGTGCCTCCTCTCCTCATGGGGCGGAAAGTAAGTGACCGGAATACCAGGAATACTAACGCCCTGGGAAGCCCGAGAGGGACTGGGAGCCCTCCTCTCCTCGAGGCAGCCGAAAGGCCCGGATTCGCCAGAGAGCAACGGATCACCAGACGCCTCAAGCGCCGAGGGATCCTAGCCGAGCCCGCAATCCCACCCCCCTTTCTCCGCCCCGGCCCGGGAGTGGTGAGGAACTCCTGCCGGAGACCTCCAACCGACTCCACGAACGGGACTTCATCGAAGTCCATCTGCTGCTGAAACATAGACTCCATCAGTGACATGTCAAAACCACCGGCGGCGCAGGAGAGGGGAAGGGCCACGGGATTTTTCCCTTTTTGACACACGCTTGGACTTAGATCGGGGGAACCTGCGCCAGGTCCCCTCCGCCCTCACGATTTCTCAAGGCGATAGAACAAGGTGTCGGCAGCCGCCGCTTCTGGGCCCGGAAAAGGCCAGACAAATAGGACAGAGTCAGCCTCATGGCCTGTCTTCTCCAGACAGGCCACGCATAACTTCGTGATGACTGTCGCCCGGGATACCCTCACAGAACCAACAGCATGAAAGGTTTGAAACAAACACGCAAAACGTGGTGAACGTACGCCGTGCAGCATATAAACACGTAGAAAACATTGAAAACTACGTGGAAGGTTACCAATGAAAGTAATAGTTGGTTTTAATACGCAAGATTACGACCACATGGCACGCAGCTAACTTCCGCCCATGGCAGAGCAACACGCGCGTAACCACGGGAAAGTTCGGGCGATTTAGTATTAATACAAAGTCACAATTATGAAACAACCAACTGTAAAGCTTTTACTGTTCTTTGTTTTGACGTTATCAAATAAAGACCATACATACAGGTGGTGTTCTCAGACATAGTCTCTTTTAACAGCGCCGTCACGCTCGCATGAATGGGTTATCAAAACACGCCTGTTCACGGCCGTGACAGCAGAAGGAATGATGATACGGGTCTAGGAGCCTACCCAGTTGGTGCGCATGCTCTAAGGGAGGTAACTCCGTGAGGTAGGGTCCGTATAATAAATAAAAGAGTTTATTTATTGTACAATCTTTTTATTCAAAAAACATTGATACAACTGTCACAGGACATTTTATATTTATTTCCATATTAAACAATAGGGCCTACACATTCGGATCAGGACCCACAACTTTTTATGCAGCTTTTCAGGGTAAAGGGCAAACACGACCAAAAACACATATATTAAGTTTGCAATCAGGATGAATCTGGAGCTCAAACCCATGATCAGAGGATTCCCAGGTGTGGGACAGGTTAGACTTATAGAGTGATTTGCAGCACTTTGACAAATGGGTTACTTAAGCTCTGCCAGCAACCAAGGAATAACTGACAATGGTTCCATTCACAATAAAACGTGAATATCATGTGACAAAGCACATGACCCCAACGTGAACCTGACAAAAACATCAAAGTATTTTGCAAAATATTGTTACCAGCGTACCTACAGTTTACACCCCTAATACATGAAAGTGTTTTCAAAATTGCGGAGTGGATAGTGTCTACCATGAAAGAGTATAGTCAACAACCTCTCTGCAAGAAGATTGAACAAACATGCCTCCTTAGAAATTACTACCAAACATAAAAGATCACAACATATTTTGTGATACTTTCTTTAAATTCAGAAAATGTAAGGATGTTTTTCAAATAATTGAATAACTAAGAAAATTCAATGTTCTCAAAATCACTTTTCAATGTGTCATATTCATGTAATTTCATTACAATACCAATTATTAAAAAAGTAAACTTAATTCCAAACCAAACATTCAAACAGACTCAGCTTGTAAAGAGCATATGAATTTTCTTCTCCAAACTCTTTAACAAAGCCGAAGACTTGTTGGGGCATCCAGTTGTCAAAAGAACCACTATAAGCTGATCAGATTTAACAGAGGTGGAAATAACCCATTGCCTGACGTCCCAGTCCAGTGTTTTTTTTCTGTCGGGCAAGCAAATTTGTATATCACACTGTACGGGTGTCACGTTGACTTTCCAATGTTAATTATGTTGTATTTTTAAAAAATCAACAAGAAAATCGGCCAGTAGAGAGAAAAATTATCAGGGCAAGTGATTTTACATGTGCCACTGTACCGGAGTACACTAGCAATTTTAAAGTTATTTCCACCCCTGTTTAAGTCCCTTGGCTTAACAGGATCCTATATTCTTGGGTTTGAATCTTAGATTTGCCTGATTATGTTTCTAGATTTGTCAGCACTAAATCCATGCTGAATGGTTTTCACCATGTGCTTAACTTCCAAGGTCCTCATCACTTCAGGGCTTGCTTCCAGCCGACGTGTGATACAATTGACACACTGTCCAATGTGAGATCAGTAAACTGTTTACCATTTCTTACCAAGTCTTACCTTAGCATCATGCTTGTATCCGTTGGCGATCGTGTACCTCTCCTCCACATACTGCTTGGTCTGTTCTATCATCATACGACCGAAGGCTGTCACACTCTGCAAGATGGAAGAGTGGACACGGAGTGAGTGAGTGAGTGAGTGAGTGAGTGAGTGAGTGAGTGAGTGAGTGAGTGAGTAATGTCTCATACCATAGTCAGTCATACAATTGCTAGATTTGTAAATCGCCACTCAAGCAGTTCCTATACATAATTCAATCAAAGGAAGTTAAAAGTTTTGTATAAAATCAAGTAGAAGTGAGTGAGTGCACTCGGCAATATTCCAGCTATATGGTGGCGGTTTAAGAAGAAGACTTTCATGATTAATATAACATTAATGTGGCCATTTTGAAATCCAGTATTTCTTACAAGCATGTCATATAGTTTGCTCTAAGCTCTGTGGGGCGGTTGGGTAGCCTAGTGGTTAAAGTGGTGAGTGAGTGAGTTTAGTTTTATGTCGCATTTAGCAATATTCCAGCAATATCACAGCGGGAGACACCAGAAATGGGCTTCACACATTATACCCATGTGCAAAATCGAACCTGGGTCTTCGGCGTGACGAGCCAACGCTTTAACCACTAGGGCACCCCACCGCCCCAGCAAACTCTTCACACAAGTACAGGCGGCAGAAGATCAATTCTAACCTTGACCTTGATGGGGTCACATTACCTGAGATATCTCCAGACAAGGCAGTTTGCCGACTTGAGCACCTGTGAACCCGTACACAGAGTTGGCACTGATCTTCAATGCAAGCTGACGGCCGTCCAGCACCTTCTTCTTGAATGGATCTGTCTCCTTCTTCAGATCAGCCTTAGCTCTACAAGAGTGAGTGAGTAAGTGAGTGAGTTGAGTGAGTGAGTGAGTGAGTGAGTGAGTGAGTGAGTGAGTGAGTGAAGTTTTATGCCGCACTCAGCAATATTCCAGCCATATGGCGGTGAGTGAATGAGTGAGTGAGTGAATTTTATTTTACGCTGATTTTAGCAATTTTCGAACAAGATCACAGCGAGACACCAGAAATGGGATGCACACACCCAACCTTAAAAGATTGTATTACTGGTGCAATTTGGAAAATACAACAAACACAAATAATTGCATTGCCTACATTCAAGTCATTTACAACACAGTAACTCATGGTTACTCGCAGAGGACAAGACCTCCAATGTAAAATACTAGGCCCAAACTAGGTTGAAACAATATTTCCGACTGCAATGCATGAGGGGCTTGTCAGATGACCCGTTTAGGAAACCATACCATGTGTTAGATATAAGACGAGCCTTTGAAAATGTGCACATGTCATTATCATGTAAAGTAAATTAAACACCACCAAAGTATTGCCTTTAAAGCCATTTGATGTTATGAAAAAACCTAGCTCATATATTTTCAGTAGAAACAAATAGCTGCAAAATTGCTGATGCAGCATTAAACAATATTTACTCATTGACCAATGTTTTTGGTCTTAAAGCCATTTGAAGTTATGAAGTTATGTTTTCAGTGATATTTCACTGTGTATCAGCAAGACCTTCAACACTTGAAGACCAATGTTGAAAACCCACTACAGTAAGGTGTCTAAGGGCTTTAGGCCGTAATCCCATCATAGACAAAGAAATGCCAGGGGAAAAACATATTTTTGATGGCAACAAACAAACCCATATAAAGTGAAAAGGAGCCCCAGTGAGACCAGAGATTCAGAACCTGAGGAAATCTAGACTTGCTTCGTTTAGGGCTTTAGCACTGCAGGGAGGGCTAGGCAGTAGGGACAATACTGTGGTTCAGGGACTGTGAGACGGACAAAGCTGAATATTGCAGAATACAGTAATAAACAGAGGTGAGGTGAGGTGAAATTGGGTTTAACGCCATGCTTGAGAATATTTCGGCCATATGATGACGTGCATGCGGGATTTGTGTATGTGTATGTGCATCTGCATGTACTAGCCCAGACTTAAGCTGGTTCTATAGTGCTAGCCCACTGAGATACCATGCCGCAGTGAAGCATGAACACCCCACTCAGACACATTATACTGACTCGAAGCGACCAGTCCTTATTGTACCCATTAAAGCCAAGCCAGACAGGGACCAACAAGTACCATATTTTAACGTCTTTTTGGTATGACGCGGTCAGAATACAGTAATAAACAGAAGCATAAAAAATCATCACTTACTTTTTCCTGGCAGAAAGTAAATGCTCCAAGATTTCTGGCAGCAGACCCTTCCTGACAGTAGACTTGCAGAACAGGTTCCCACTGGGCGTCTTGATGTACTGCTCGGCAGTTAACCTGCAGAACACAAGGAGGGGATTGGTCCATCAGGTCACACTCCCAACTGACGGTTATGGGGGACTAGGGTTTGGGGGTTTGGGTTGGGAGAGGCCTGTAATGCAGGCACACGGAGACATGCTTGGAACACACTGTCCACTTCCTGAACACACTTAAACTTGTAATGAAGTCTATTGCCAATCAGGTTGTCATACAAAAACTTCGACAAACAAACCACCAGAAAAGTATTCATTTTTATCTACTCGAATAACTGGTGCAAAGTGATTTAGGTAGGCCTGATCTTATGTTGTCATTTGGCCCCAGGTTGGAAGCAGTTCAGAAGTACTAATTTCAGGCTGTAGACATTTACTGTACATATTAAACATACATGTGTGGAGTGTTTCCATGGTTACATACCTTTCCTTCTGGATGGCAGCGGGGTTGAGGAGGGAGGTGTAGCACAGGTTGTGTGCCATCATGATTGACGGGTACAGCGACGAGAAATCCAGGGTGGCTATGGGTATGTCGTAATACCTGCCAAATGTAAGTAATCCAAGTTGCAGAACTGAGCCACATTTAGTGACTTGTATAGTAATGGCAGCTGCACCCTTTTACCCCTCACATGCATCCTTGTACTAATTTCTTTTGAAATTTCATGACTCACCAGCCCCTTCAGATGATACCAGTAGCCCCCTTGTATCAACCCCTTCAGAAGATCTGTCAACGGTGGATACCAGTGGCACCCTTTTTATCAACTCCTTCAGAAGATCTGATACCAGTAGCCCCCTTGTATCAACTCCTTCTGAAGATCTGATACCAGTGGCACCCTTGTATCAACTCCTTCTGAAGATCTGTCACCAGTGGCACCCTTGTATCAACCCCTTCTGAAGATCTGATACCAGTGGCACCCTTGTATCAACCCTTCTGAAGATCTGATACCAGTGGCACCCTTGTATCAACTCCTTCTGAAGATCTGATACCAGTGGCACCCTTGTATCAACTCCTTCTGAAGATCTGATACCAGTGGCACCCTTGTATCAACTCCTTCTGAAGATCTGTCACCAGTGGCACCCTTGTATCAACCCCTTCTGAAGATCTGATACCAGTGGCACCCTTGTATTAACCCTTGTATCAACTTTGTATCAACCTTCTGAAGATCTGATAAGTGGCACCCTTGTATCAACTCCTTCTGAAGATCTGTCACCAGTGGCACCCTTGTATCAACCCCTTCTGAAGATCTGATACCAGTGGCACCCTTGTATCAACCCCTTCTGAAGATCTGATACCAGTAGCACCCTTGTATCAACCCCTTCTGAAGATCTGTCACCGGTGGCACCCATGTATCAACCCCTTCTGAAGATCTGACACCCTTGGATCCACCATTCAGTAACAACTGGACCCCTTGTACTCACCCTTTCTCAGGTTCGATGACCGTGGCACCCTCGTACTCGTCCCCTGTGTCTACTTTCTGTGATGGTAGCACAAGGTCCTGTTCCTTTGCCTGACAGAAAATAATACAAAAACAAAAAAACACAGGGATTTAACAAACAAGACCCAATATATTCCACTACATCAATGTAAAACTTCATTGTAAAATATCCAAATTAGTTCCATTTTCACATTAAATCTACGTTTGCTATAGATAAAAACAAAAACAGAATGAAACACTGACACATCATACGCCTTTGAACTTTAATTATGTTTACTGAGACAACAGATTTTCTACTTGTATTCAATTAAATAAGAAGGAAAGTGGAATATCTTTTTAAAATAACTTGGTGTTATCTTATACACCTCACATGATAAAGGACATCATTAGATTGACAGGTCATTTCTTCAATCCAACATGCTTAGTGTACAACATATGCATATCTCCTTTATAAGTTTAATACAGTATTGATACTGGTCATTCTACTCACCTTCCGCAGCAGCTGGGAAATGACCTTGATCTGCTGACCTCTTGCGAGCAGGAAGGGGAGGGGCACGCCAGTGACACGAGCCATCTCCATGTAGTTGATGACACACATCAACTTGTCTAGGAGTCGGAGTGGCAAGATGGCGTCCTTCAGGCAGTAGACTGCTAACCGGCGCCGAGTCTGCTCATTACCATTCTGATGTGAAGGAAGTGGAGGGTGAAACCAAGGAGCTTGTGTATAGTGAGTGTGTTAGTATGTTTTACGCCGCTTTTCGCAATATTCCATCAATATCATGACAGGGGACCCCAGAAATGGGCTTCACACATTGTTCCCATGTGTGGAATCGAACCTGGGTCTTCGGCTTGACGAGCGGATGCTTTAATCACTAGGCTTCTGCCCTGTATAGTGCAGGAGTGAGTGAGTGGGTTTAGTTTTACGCCGAACTCAGCAATAGTCCAGCTATATGGCAGCGGTCTGTAAATATCCACAGTCTTGACCAGACCAATCCAGTGATCAACAGCATGACTGAAGATCAATATTCTAACCCGACCTGGCTGGATAATTGAAGGAAACGAAAAATATTATCTTTGGTTTCAAAGGTAAAACAATAACCCACTTAATCTGGTGTTTCTAATAGTGAAATACATGCTATATGTCAAGTGCTTCAAGTACTATAAAGCTACCAAATATACAGCATTTTCTAATGCAAACCCAGCAAACTGATGACCCGCATCCCTGGTATAGATATTAGCCTTGGGCAAGGATAACAGACAAGCATTGGGTTACTGAAGATCAATATGCTTTTTTATTCTAACCCGGATCTTCACGGGTGTATAGTGCTAGGAAGCCTAATCATGGTGAATATGGATCACAAAATCTACAAGTATAGGTTTATGATATGCACAAATATAGACAGATAATTGTACGTCAGATGACAGGGCCACTGTTTCTGGTAAAAGAATGGGTGGATTTTAAGACCCTATGTTTTGTTTTGTTTGAGTATTCTTAAAAGCAGTCCTTTACCAAAAATATTTGTAACTGCACCAGACAATCCAGTGATAGACATCATGAGCATCGATCTGCACAACTGGGACATTAAGATATATATCAAGTCGGCGAGAGAGACCATCTGATCCCATGTGCCACCTCAAAGACAAGCTTTGGCTGCTGAAGATCGTTATGTAACCCGGATCTTTATGTAACCCGGATCTTTATGTAACCTGCAGGGCTCCAGATAACTTTTGAGGGTGTGGGTGTACTTGCACCTCATACTGCAAGTGGAGGTGCACTTAGAATTGTGAAGGCGTACTTACATGCTTTTGTGTGAGCGAACCGGTGATGTGGTTTGTTATTTATAATATTAAACAACTTTTCAGCTGTTAAACTTTATATATGTTAGACGTACAAAGGTATTTATGTGCGTACATGATACGCTTGAAATCTTATATTATGTCGTACGTCATTGATTTTTAGGCGTACATTACGGCTGTACGCCCCTTATCTGTAGCCCTGAACCTGGATCTTCATGGGACATGACCGTGTTGTACCTGGAGATCTGTGATAATGGAGTGTTGAACATCTTCCTTCTGTTCTTGAAGGAAATGAAAGGACACTGCGTTCAAGGTGTATGACCTTAGTTTGTAGTCTCGCAACAATATCTGAAATATAAAGAGAAAAATATGAATTGGCAACTCATGCAGCTTCAACATGTTGTAGGGGGTTTGGTTAAAGGGTTTGCTCGTCGCGACGAGGACCCGAGTTCGGTTCCCTACATGGGCACAATGTGTGAAGCCCATTTCAGGTGTCCCCCGCCGTGATATTGCTGCAATATTGCTAAAAGCGGCGTTAAAACCAAACTCACTCCACATGTTCCATACCTACCACTTTGAACATGTGCTCCCTTCCATTCCTTAATGGTTAGGCAACATACATAACAATTAAATCCAACATTACTAATACAAAACGGTCTTGTGGAGAAAATGTCTGTGCTGACATGTAATTGGGGGACCAGTTTGTTTGACATGGAGAACAACTATCAACATTGACGATGATTTCCTTTAGGCTTCATCCTGCTCAAAACATCTTACTGACGGTTACTTCAAATACACACCCTTCAAATATTTTGAGTTCAAAACACAGCTCATGCCCATGAACTGTATTTACACGGTAAAGAGATGAGTTTACTTTACATTTCAGAAATGAGTTGTGCAACAAGGATAAACAAAAAAGGCAAACAAATATTAGCAGCCAAACATCATGATTAATGAGCAGGGCTCGATTTAGTGCTTTGTTACTTGCACTGGTGCAACCGAATATTACAAAGTGCAACCTAGTTATTAGTCTAACTTGCACCAGGTGCAAGTCAATTTTTTAGTGGGTAAACTTCTGAATGAAATATGTACATAATTCAAGAGCATATTTCTTTCATTACATATTACAATAAAGGCAGTGCAACTGGAATTTGGCTGGTGCAACCAGGTATTTATCTTAGGCTGCACCCGGTGCAAGTAGGTTAACATCTCTTAAATCGAGCCCTGATGAGCCATTTTGACTTTCCTGATTAGTAAGCAGCAGACCTCATCAATATTTAATGACATTCAACTAACGTCATCTGTTGAAGAACAGTTCTGTCCTATGTTTCTTGTTACCTCAAAAAGGTTAAAAGCATTTCGAAGTTATAAGCAGTGACCGAGACAGGTCAGCAATATCCAGCAACATCGTCCCTGGGGACACCAGAAATATTCTCCTCACACTGTACCCATATGGGGAATCAGTCCCAGGTCTTTGGCATGAAAAACAAGTAGACTACCCTCGCGCCCCTTCACAAAAGGATTAAACCAATAGATATACCCAACTAACAGAAACACACTAAAGGTTTGGTATGAAGTAAATCAGAGGTACAGATAAGCTGTGTATCTGCGTAAATTTTGCAAATATTTATGTGAAAACTCAATTCCTAAGTCTATTGCATACAAGTATGCTTCAATTTTTGCAAATACTCAATAGATTTGATATTACATGCATACTAACAAAAATAGATAAAATAACTGAAGTATATTTAGAGTTTCTATTTCAGCACCTGGACTTGGCAACTTGCAGTCTTTCTTATCGTTTCTCATATAACACATCAAATATAAATAACAAACACGTAAACCAACATTTAACTTTAATATATTTTACAATTAATGGAAAATGGCAAAATACCCAATTGCGTTTGAGTGAGGTGGGTACAATTTATTTGGTTACTCAAAGGAACATTAGGATACCCAATTAAGATAAACACAAGCGAGTACATAACTCAATGACGCAAAAAGTTATCTGTAGCTCTGTGAAGCCGAACCTGAAACTTGTTCCTTGGACACCGACCACACGTACCTGCAGGAGGTCGAACTGCGTCCTGCCCTCAATGTTGATGACCTTGTTCTCTCTCTTCCCCATCTGTTTGCTCTGGAACATGGACTCCTTAATGACAGACTGGTTGTCCTTGATGCGACCCAGGTACGTGAAGTCTCGCACCTTCAGATGCGCTGCCCGGTTGATCAGGTACGGGAAGTCAAAGTTCTGTATGTTGTAGCCGGTGATCAAATCAGGGTCTATTTCTCGGACAAATGCGGACCATTTCTGAAAAAGCAAAATCACAATTTATGAAGCGTGTGGAACCAAGGTATTCCGCGTGAACCAGTGAATGTTCGGGTTAGAATATTGATCTTCAGTAACCCATGCTTGTCGTAAGAGGTGATCGGGTGGGTGGTCAGGCTCGCTGGCTTGGTTGACACATGTCATTGGTTCCCAATTGTGCAGATAGATGCTAATGCTGTTGATCACTGGATTGTCTGGCCCAGACTCGATTATTTACAGACTAAACTCATTCATTATAGCTCTTCTGCTTGATGAATGACTGCTGAAGTAGCAATGCTACCAAACCACCCCTGACTGCTGAGTTTAGTTTTACGCGCTTTTAGCAATATTCCAGCTAAACTCAATCACCAGAAATCTTAACACATTGTGCATGGGGATGAATGACTGCTGAAGTAGCAATGCTACCAAACCACCCTGTGCTAATCTGAATAAAATGGATGATCAAAGTTTAGCACTGGTATGGTAGCCCAATGAAGACCTAGGTTTGAATTGGGTCTTCAGCAACCCATGCTTGCTGCAATAGGGACAGGTAGGTTGATGCAGGTCATCATGACCCAATTGCATATACTTGCGCTCATGACATCAACCACTGGATTCCTGGTTACCTCCCCTGGTTGTTTGCAAATATGACAGGCTTTACTGGAGGAGACATTTAGGTATGGAATAGTTTCTAGTAGGTTTGTTGTACCTGATTGCTGTTAATCAAATTGTCGAAAAGCACTAAATTGAAGCCAGCTATTTCTGACCAGAGAACAAAGACAGGTTTGCTTCATGATAAATTACAGCCCTGAAATACAAGATATTTGTGAGTGCTGTACTCTTACTCATAAGGCTGTTACTTAAGGCTGCAGTCATATATCTGACCCTCTGTACTGCCTGATTTTCATGTTTAAAGGGAAAACTTTGTGTATGCATATAATCTAATTTATTTCATTCATTGATCCTTCCAGAAGGTTTCATTTGACTCAGTATAGCCTGTAAAAATAATAATTGAGGTTAAGTTTACTTTAGACTGTTCATTGATCTTGTGTGATCATTTACTCATCCATTTTTAGTTGTGTATGTTCCCATTCCTTTGTCAACCTTTGCTTTCAACTTGGAAATCACCTCAGAAGGTGACGAACACAATGGGTAAATTCATTGAAACACAGAGAAGGTGACGAACACAATGGGGAAATTGACTGAAACACAGAGGTGACGAACACAATGGGGAAATTCACTGAAACACAGGTGACGTCAAACAAAGGTGAAACACAGAAAAACTGGTGACGAACACAATGGGGAAATTCATTGAAACACAGAGAAGGTGACGAACACAATGGGGAAATTCACTGAAACACAGAGAAGGTGACGAACACAATGGGGAAATTCACTGAAACACAGAGGTGACGAACACAATGGGGAAATTCACTGAAACAGAAGGTGACGAACACAATGGGGAAATTCACTGAAACACAGAGAAGGTGACGAACACAATGGGGAAATTCATTGAAACACAGAAAAGGTGACGAACACAATGGGGAAATTCACTGAAAAACAGAAAAGGTGACAAACACAATGGGGAAATTCATTGAAACACAGAACACAATGGGGAAATTCATTGAAACACAGAAAAGGTGACGAACACAATGGGGAAATTCATTGAAACACAGAGGTGACGAACACAATGGGGAAATTCACTGAAACACAGAAAAGGTGACGAACACAATGGGGAAATTCATGAAACACAGAAAAGGTGACAAAAACAATGGGGAAATTCTTCGAAATACAGAGAAGGTGACGGACATGATTTTTAATTTACATCAGAACACAATACAAAGAATTTTGAAATTCATTGAAACAAAGAGAAGGTGATGAACACATTTGGAAATTCTTCATAACACAATACAGAAAGGATGACTGACTGAAACTTGCCTCCAACATCTCTTTCTCCGTCTTGAAGGACAACACCTCTGACCCTACAACAGGTGCGCATGTATTGAGGGTAAACACGTTGCGAACAAATGGGTCGTGCTCCCCCTGACGAATCACCATGTTGGCGATCTGTATCACTGGATCCTTGTCAGCCTCGGGGAAAACACCTGGAAAATAAATATGAACTAAATCATTCCACAGGTACTGTTCCAACTTAGAAGTAGTGGTAGAAGTTGTTTAATGCCGCACTCAGCAGCATTCCAACTACATGGCAATGGTCTGTAAATATGGTCTGGACCGGCCAGTGGTCTGAGTGAGTGAGTATGGTTTTATGCACTTTTAGCAATATCCCACAATATCATGGCGGGGACACCAGAAATGGGCTTCACACATTGTACCCATGTGGGGAATCGAACCCGGGTCTTCGGCGTGACGAGCGAACGCTTTAACCACTAGGCTACCCCACCGCCCGAGCATTGATCTATGCGATTGGGATACAATGAATGAAAGTAGTGGTAATATTACCTCTGACATGCGTGTGATGAATCTTGGATTTGTCGTTTATTCAAAATCGATAGGAATTATTGAGAAACCATACAAGCAAACATGTCTTTGAAATCTTTAGCATTATAACTGGTGGTTGGTAAAACTGTTCACATAAAACAAAGATACACACCCCTTAAGGATGTCCTCTATGTTTCATACCCTGTTGCCGGTTAGTAAAGGTTTTTGAAAAAATCATTCACTTGTACATTTGAAAATTCGTATCCCCATTGCATAGATTGATGTACATCCTGTGGATCACTAAGATTGCCTGGTCCAGGCACCATATAGCTGGAATATTGATGACATTTAACAACAAACATAGAAAATCTTTAAAGATTCTCAGATCTTCATGGAGGTTAATGATTTACTCAACCGTTCTGCTTTTTTTCTCGGCATATTTTTTTACATAAATATTTTCAATTGTACTTTTGAAATTCCATTCAAATTCTAATATTTACATCGCCTACAGTTGTTTATGGGAGTTAATACAATATAGATCGAGATTCATCTTTTCCAGCATGGAATGGAAGTGTTCACCTTTCCTCCCAGCACATTCAATGTCGAAGCTGAGGATGCGGAAAGGGGCGACCTTGGACCACTCCCCTTCTGTAGAATGGGACACAATATCTTCCCACGACACGTCCAGCTCTATCTGACAGCGAGACACCGGAGGAAGTCGGCCATCCTTAGCATCTTTGGTACGGAGGATGTATTTCCCTGCTGGAATCTCAATCCAGTTACATCCTACAACATGGGCGTCAACCATAAACCTGAAACAAAGACGAAGATGGTGATGAAGTGGGGATTAATGGTGCATACATGTCTCAGGGGTGGAAATAACCCATTGCCCGACGTCCGACTCCAGTGTTTTTTTCTGTCGGGCAAGCAAATTTGTATATCACATTGTACCGGTGTCCAGTTGACTTTCCAATGTTAATTATGTTGTTTATTTAAAAAATCAACATGAAAACAGCGGGACTAGTGGAAAAATTATCAGGGTAAGTGATTTTACATGTGCCACTGTACCGGAGTACACGAGCAATTTGAAAGTTATTTCCACCCCTGTGTCTGCTTATACTTGTTCACTGAATACCACATCTCATTTTCATAGTTCTTTGACACATTGTGCTGTCTCTCAAGACCACATGGTCATCAGATCCAGGTTAGAATTGGTTTTCAGCAACCCATGCTTGTTGTAAGGGGCGACTAATGGGATCAGGTGGTCAGGCTCGCTGACTTGATTAATGTACGGACCCGTGAAGATTCGGGTTAGAATTGGTCTTCAGCAACCCATGCTTGTCTTAAGGGTGATCGGGTGGTCAGACTTGCTGACTTGGTTGACAGGTCATCATATCCCTATTGTGTAGATTGGTGCTCATGATTTTGATCACTGGATTGTCTGGTCCAAACATTATTTTTTACAGAGCGCCGCCATAGCCAGAATATTGATGAGTGCGGGCGGAAACAAGAAACAAACAGAACAAACAAACAAGGTCATGGGTCTTGTGTAATTGTCTTCATGCAGAGTGCAAGGCAGGGTAACATCAAGTCCCATGTTTTAACATCATTAGAGATCAAAACAATGATCTACTGTCTAGGTAGATGTTCTTCCACTTGTGACGATCTCCGTAATAGTCAATATTCTAGTAAATGATGAGGTTAAAATAATGTAAAGTGAAATTCATGTATTTTACTGTGTATGCACTATATTTCTTTCATGAAAGCTCACCTGATCTCGAAGTCTATGTTACTTTCGTAGGTCTGAAAGGCATACTGGCTATAGCCTGTACATACGAAGCCTTGCTCAAGGAGCCGGCGAGACGGGGCAATCAGACGAGGTAGTGCAACTGTGATCTTCAGAAAGGGAATCTTCCTGTTACCATGGAAACCATAGATACCTGAAAAAAAAGGAAGCACTTGATTATTCTCTTTCATCAAGCATACCCATAAACAATAAAGTCTTGACCATCCTAATATTACAAGGGTTTCAACAAAGTGGGATTTATGCTGTTGTGGTAAGTAGTGGTTGTGTATTTGTCAAAGAACCAGAAATCCGGTGATTGATATTCTGAGCAACAATGACATCTCATCAACCATTTAACTGAGTTGACCATCAAACCATTCATTACAACCAGGTTTGTTTTTTTGTGCAATCTGTAACAAACAAACCAGATTTTGAAAGTATGAGCCTCTGTTGACACAATTAGGACACAATACACTAGGACACAATTAGGTTGACACAATTAGGACACAATTAGGGACACAAATTAGGACACAATACACAATTAGGACACAATTACATGCATCAACCCATTCTGTGAGCTTGTTGTTTAATGTTACACTCAGCAATATTCCAGCTATATGGTGGCAGTCTGTAAACAATCAAGTCTGGACCAGACAATCCAAATATCAACAACATGAGTATTGATCTTTGTACTTGAGTGAGTGAGTTTAGGTTTAGTTTACCGCGCACTCAAGCAATATTCAGATATATGGCGAGCGGTCTGTAACAATCGAGTCTACTTGAGATAAGATAATGTGTCAACCAAGTCTGAAGACCTAAGTCACGGGTCCTTTGTACTTGAGATAAGATCATGTCAACCAAGTCAGCAAGTCACCTCTTGATCCCGTTAGTCGTCTCTTACGACAAGCATGGGTTGTTTGAGACCAATTCTAACCTGGATCTTCACAGGTATCATTGCAACCAGAATCGGTAGCCATGGAACAGTTGTAACCCAGATTCTTCAAGGGTTCCTTGGAACCTGGATATTTATACGGTAGTATGGATGCCTTACTTTCTCTGATGACACAATCCACAGCAAGAACCGCCTGGACCACGCCCTCGCGGTTGGACCGCATGTCCTTCTTCACAGCCGCATCCAGAGCGTCCTGCAATAAAACCAGCAGTCACATTAGTGGTCTTTTGGAGGTGAGGCAAAAGGGGGTTTAGCGTTGTACATAAGAATATTTCGCTCATATGACGACGTGCATGCGTGTGTATGTGTGGCTGCTTGTACTAGCCCAGACTTAAGCTGGTTCTTTAGTGCTAGCTCACTGAGATACCATGCCGCAGTTAATCATGAATACCCCATTCCTCCACATATTACTGACTGACTGAGTTTGTTTTGACGACTGAGTTTGGTTTTACGCCGCTTTTAGCAATATTCCAGCAACATCACGGCTGGGGACACCAGAAATGGGCTTCACACAATGTACCCATGTGGGGATTCAAACCCGGGTCTTCGGCGTGACGAGCCAACGCTTTAACCACTAGGCTACCCCAACCGCCCTTCAGACACATTATACTGACTCTGAGTCTTTGACGTGACGGGTGAACGCTTACTAGGCTACCCCACTGCCCCTAATGTCTCAGACCAATAAGTACCAAGCCTTAAAAGTCACAGATAAACTACTGGGTGTATACAGCAGTAGGATTTATCGACAACTCTAAAATAAGAGCCATTGGGAGCAAAATGTCAAAAAACATTATGTCAAAAATGGAGGGTAATTTAACATAAAAGATATATTTTAAAGCCTTTTCCTCTTAATTGGTCCAGTTATCAGTGTTTGAAATTAACCTTGATCATTTACGTAGCCATGACATTAACAAAATGTAATTTTTATGATAACATTAATATTTTATACTTATCCTGACTCATGCTTATTTGCTTTCTCATCCTCTCTTCCAAACGGTCAAGTGGAAACTTGAATCCCTTCAAGCGAACGTACAATCACTCACCCTGAATCATCTCCCTTTTCCGCCAAAACTGGCACGTGACCTGTCATGCCTTGCTCCTCACTTTCTCTGATATAAGCCCCACGCTGGTTTACAGGGAAACCCGTGTGGTGAGAGGGGACGGTTGGGAGGGCTTCATCTCATGAGTCAGGATAAGTATAAAATATTAATTTTATCATAAAAATTACATATTTTTCCTTATCCTGACTCATGCTTATTTGCTTACTGAACTGACAGAATCATGGGTGGTGGGTCAACCACCTAACAGGATTCCCTGTATGATTGTATTCATGCTAGCCGCTAAAGCGATATATATACCCCCTGGGAATTTTCTTCTTCTGCGGCTAACTTCAATATTTCTTGATGCTTGTCGAGGGACCACCTTCTTATACATTCGTATTAGAAGTAAACTTCTTAAACTTTGTGGATTTAGTATACTAGACGCCTGGTTGTCTAGATATCTGCAACAACCCAATATGTTACGGTAGGAACTTTACCGAAACTGGAATCGCGACCCATCTGTTAAGGCAAGAACATTACCATAACTGAGTCTATGTATCACTCATGCGCTGACTTATCTCATAAGTCAGGGGAACATGGACTCTCAGCTGGTGGCAATGGACAGTTGCCTGGCATCAACAAATCTGCGTGACAAGGGTGAGTTTCTTCAACGTCTGGCCGGTACAGTGAGTTGTTGCGCTACGACTAGAGGGCCGAACTGGTGTATCCCTGATACGTCTTCTGTGGAGATGTCTCTCAGGTAGTGATTAGCGAAGACAGTGTCTGACTTCCAAAAGCAGCCTTCCATTATAGATGATATAGAGCAGTTTCCATGTAGGGGGAGTGTCGAGGTCAAAGCTGTAACTTCATGTGGGTTTGATGCTCTTGGAGGCTCTAAACCTGCTGCTTTATAGGCTCTTAGGATCACTGCTCTGATCCAGAAGGAGATCGTTGTATGGGATACTTCTACAGTCGTAGCTGTTGATAGCGGGATGAATAGACGCTTGAACTTCCTTCTTCTAGTAGCAGATTTCTGCAAGTAGATTCTCAGAGTAGATTCTCAGCACTCTGACCGGGCATAAAGATAAATCTTGAGTGTCTTCTGGACCCAGGATTGTTGATAATGCCGGAACGTAGAACTGACGATCCGGTTGGCCCGGTAGCTGGTTCTCGGCTATAAAGTCCCATCTAAGGCCTAGATGGACTGCTTCCCTTCTTCCAGTGTCAAATATCGTACGGCTGAAGTCAAGGGCGTGTATTTCTGACATCCGAGCAGCAGTAGCCAAGGCGAGGAGGAATATCGTCTTTTGAGTTAAGAACTCACATGTCGTCTGCGTCAGCGGTTCGTATACATCACCGATGAGGTGCTGCAACACTATGTTGAGGTCCCATGCTGGTGCTCTGAACTTCTGTTGTTGATCTTCCAACTTGAAAGATCTCAGCAGGGCCACTAGTTCAGGCACCTTGGTCAACTTCACCCCTGTCTTCATGGTGATGACCGAGCTGATTGCCGCAAGGTATGTAGACAGCGTAGAGCCCTTCAGATGTCTAGTGGATCTCAGATGACACAAGTAGCCTCCTACTTGTGGATGTGTCGCCTTTCTGGACGTGAACCCCTGTTGAACAGCATACTGGTCAAAACTTCTCCACTTGTCATCATACAGGTTACGTGTAGATCTTCGTAGAGCCAAGCTCACAGCCTTGCCTGCTCTAGTGGAGTAACCTCGATTCTTCAAGCAGTACGTAATATGCTCCATACGTGCAACTGGAACGCTTCTGGGTTGCCGTGACACAGCTTGGTGTGAGGATGGATGAGTAGGTTCGGCCAATCTGGTAATCGTAGAACTGGTTCACCGTGAAGATCTATGAGGTCTGGGAACCATAGTCTCGCTGGCCAATAAGGCGCTACCAAAATCAGTTGTAGCACCCTCGTCTGGTTGATCTTGCGTAATACTTGAGGTAGCAGGATCGGTGGAGGGAAGGCGTAGGCCTTCATTCCCTCCCAGGATATGGCAAAGGCGCCGACAGCTCATGCCAGCGGGTCTGGCACTGGCGGGATGAACGTTGTCACCTGCTGGTTGAAAAGGGTTGCAAACAGGTCGATGAGGGGACGGCCTAGTTGAGTTGTTACCCACTGCAACACTTCTGGATGTACTGGTCTGGATAGGGCGTCGGCTAGGATGTTCTTTGCCCCTGGGATGTGGCAAGCCCTCATCTTCAGGTTGATTTCGTCTGCGATGTCGAACAGCTGGAACGTCAGTTGAAGCATAGGCCCTGATCTTGTGGACCCTTGCAGATTAATGTGAAAGGCCACAGTGGAGTTGTCCGTGTGTATCATCAGGACCTGATCTTCTAACTGCGCCGCCTAATATAGAACTGCTTCTATTACTGCTTTCAGTTCTAGCTCGTTGATGTGCAGACTCTTCTCTGTTTGTGACCACTGCCCTGCTGCAACCTCGTCGTTGAGATGTGCCCCCCAGCCTTGAAGGGACACATCCACGTAGAGATGAAGATTGTACTCTGGCTCTCTCAAATAGGTTCCGCCGAAAACATTCAATCTGACTGTCCACTAAAGCAGGTACTGTTTTAGATGTTGCGGGATGGTGAACTTCTGGACATCGTCTAGATGAGCTATCAGGAACCTCTGTAACGGTTGAAGTTGCAATCTTCCTCTGCGTGTGAGAGCCTGTGCCGACATCAGTAGACCCAAGAGTCGCTGCCACGTTCTTAAGTCTAGTGGAGAGTTGAGGGCGTCTGGTGTGCACGACTGGATGCTCTGCCATCGGTCGTCTGGTACCGGGATGCGTTTCTCTCTTGTCAGGAATCTGATGCCCAGGAACTGTAGATCTTGGGTCGGCTCCAGCTCCAACTTCTGATGATTCACCAGCCAGCCCAACTGTGTCAGCAGGTTGATCGTAAACTGCAGCTGTAGTCTGAGTTAATCTACATCTTGATGTGCCTGGATGCACCTGGATGTGCCTGGTAGAAGGCACTGCGTAGCCCCTTCTGATGGAGACAATCGGTTTGGTTATTCGCGTAAATAACCACGGGGCCGACGAAATTCCAAAGGGCAGGACCTTCCACTGGTAGTGCCGCCCTTCGAACAGGAGTCGCAGGTACTTCCGTGATTCTGAGTGCATCGGGATATGTAGATAGGCATCTTGCAGATCTATGCTGGCCATGAAGTATTTGGGTCGAATAAGATGTCTCAGCTGAGGTAGATGTAGCATCTTGAACTTCTCTGGTTTCAACAGGTAATGCTTGTTGAAGATCTTCATGTTGAAGTCGAAACTTCTCTTTGGAGTTCTTTTTGGGTACTAGGAAAATTGGAAAGTCATACCCGGGCGTGAGTCTGCATTGATCGACAACTTCTACCACACCTTTTGTCAATAACATCTCGATAGCTTTGGTGAGCTTGTCTCGCTGCAGGTGCGGATACTCGTAATACTTCTATGACGTAGTCGTCCTGTAGTACTCTCCAATTCTCCCAGTATAGACCCAACCGTCCACCCCCGGTTGACGGTTGTACAGGAACGGCTGGGGGTGGAAGACGCCGGTCGTTCCAAACCTGATCTTCAATCACGGGACCTCCTGTTCCTGCCGGAGGACTGCCCACGGCCGGAGTAACTTCTGGTATTACTTGGGCGACGAAAAGATCCCAAGTTGCCGCCACGTGTAGATGGGAACTTCTGCTCTTTAGACCTCTGTATACCTGAGAAGCGGGATCGTAGTTGACTGCGCTGAGTAGATTGTTGCACCATGGTGTTCATCGTCTGGACCGACTTGAGCAACATCAAGTCCTTGGATTCTTGAGTTACTTCACGCGACAACTGTCGGATGCCGCTGCCCAAGGTTTTCGTAGTAAAGGCTTGGTGTAGACATCTGGCCATGTAGAGGAACTCAGCAGCCCCTGATGACGTAATAGTGTGATGCCTGCCGACACAGAGGCCAAGTGATCGGAGATAAACTCCTGATCCTTGCGCTGTAACACTAGTGTAGAATGGATCATTTTTTCTTCTTCCGTCTTAGGATGCTTGAAAGCACACATCAGCGCTTCATTGATGGCTCTGGACCTTGTTATGATGTTATGATATGCTGAACTGCGGAGTATCCTGCCCTTGTGTCTTTGAAGCCTTTTCAAAGGTTGTTTTCAGGTTATCTGTAACCTGCGCAATGGGCTTCATCGGCGGTATGGTCTCTGGATGGAGACGATATCGGGAGACCATCAGCCACTCAAGCCAATACCTTTGCCTCAGTGAAGATGAAGTCATCATCTTCTGCAGGTTGTCCCCGCTCAGCTGCTAGGCTCTGACTAGAGATGTCTACGTTGACTGCTGACGATGTAGTAAAGGACCGCTCTGCGATGTCTGCCATCATCTAGCCCTCTGCAGCGTTGTTCTCAGGAACCAGCTGCTTCTTCTCCCGCTCTAGCCTCTTCTCCATGGCCTGCATCACCCTATGGGTGATGGTATCAGCAAAATCTTCAACGTTGAGGACCTCAGCGTTCGTAATCGGACGCTGCTGCGGGATGACTGCAACTGACTCGTCTGTAGACATCGCTGACGATGTAGCGTTTTCAAACGCCAAAGGGTTCTCAGCTGACGTCTGCTTCTGCTGCAACTGCTGCGGTAGACTGCCAACAGGAAGATGTAACATCTTCGACGATCAGCACAGCTGTCAAGACATAGTTGCCGCAACTCACAGCACTCAAGACTGTATCACCTTCTCACGAAGGCTGGTTGAATCTGACAACAGGTTGTATAACTTTCGGGCTCAAATTTTTCAAAAATTTTATAAGTCAGTTATTTCACTATTCAACAGATATATGAAGTCATAAATTCAATATATACACATGATTATACACAATTATCAAACATCAAGACATACTCAAACCGTAAACCAGCCAAGAAGAACACCCAGGGTGTAAATCAAGCATTGAGACGTGATGGACTGTTGTTTACATTGAAACATGTGAACAAACAGTCACCTCGAACAAAGAGAAATTGTGAATTAATTTGACATACAATGTACAAATTTTGCTATAAATATGATAAACAACATACTTAGAAACACAATCACGGCAGAATTTGTGCTATATATCCCAAATATTTGAAGTTATAAGCCGCGAAGGGACCCTGAAGTGACCGCCCAACCGTCCTCTTGGGCGATAGAGGAGAGAGTGAGGAGCAAGGCATGGCAGGTCACGTGCCAGTTTTGGCTGGAAAAGGGAGATGATTCAGGGTGAGTGATTGTACGTTCGCTTCAAGGGAATTGAAGGGATTCAAGTTTAAACTAGACCGTTCGGAAGAGAGGATGAGAAAGCAAATAAGCATGAGTCAGGATAAGGAAAAATGGTGTAACTATATTTACATTGAGAATTTTTCTTGCTTCTAATAATAAGAGGTTTTACCGATATTGTCAAATACCGACCAGTAAGCAGGACCATATAAACCCCTAAGTCCTAATAATCCAGAGTGGATTTTTATATGAACACACTTGCGTAATTCCAATGTTCACCTTAAATGCCCCACAATCCTTCTCTTTAAAGCCCGGCTGTGCTGGGACGTAGAAGTATGCGGCGAAGCCGTGGATGTGGGCCATGACACTGTTGCCATCTTGAGTGATCCCGTGCATCCGGATGATGGGTACCGGTCCCTGTGTGGCCCCCGGCATCCCTGCCAGATGTTTCCCTGGGGGACAGAAACATGGTAACGCTGGTCTTTGTTGTTTCTATAAATAGGATCAGCATGCTTAATTATACACAGAGTGAGTGAGGGAGTATGGTTTCATGCCACTTTTAGCAATACTCCAGCAATATGACGGAGAGGGACACCAGAAATGGCAGGGATAGAAATACTTTTTTTTCTAAGTGTGCCTTAGGGCACCAGGCAAATATTTTAGGTGTGCCTCTCAGAAATCAAGTGTGCCCACATGTTTTTAGAATCAATGACTGTAGCAAGGATGATGATCTTTTGAAATTTATTGTCAGAAAACAACAAATGTAACCAGTTTTCGGTTATCACTGATATGTCTTCTGCTTAAGATGGCTTTCTTATGGTACATTTGTTCTGCTTTCCCATCACCTTTAATAGCTAAGAATCACGTGAGAGGTTCACTTTTCACAATATGTCTAACATACACAATTTACTCTTCACTAACCGAACTATCAGTACTCACAACACTCTAACTGGAAAAACAACCAGATTTCTTTGCATCATCCATCATAATTCCAGTGATTTCCTGGGCGTAAAAGTCAATAAATGTGTTTGCTTGTTTTTCATTTGCTTAAGTGTTTTGTTTGGGGATTAAATGACTAAAGATGTGCTATGTCTCACGTGCCATAAGGGCACCAAGAACATTTTTTATCTGTGCCATCTGGATATTTACCGTGCCATGACACGCTAATACATGGGGTATTTCGAACCCTGAATGGGCTTCACACTTTGTATCCATGTAGGGAATAGAACCCAGGTCTTCAGGGTGACAAGCGGACACTTTAACCATTAGGCCACCCCATCGCCCCTAATTATACACAGATGGAGAGATGAGCTTGAACAGGAATTCTGTTTAAACATCGTGTGAAGGGTTAGTTCAGGGCGCAAAATATTCATCCCACATATACATATATAGAGATGTATTATGTTCAGTGGGATGCAAAAAGATGCTGTTTAAATCATAAACTTTGAATCACAAATGTTGAACACATGTTGTGACTGAACTGACCAACATAGTTGTCCACATCCAGCTGCTGAAAGGTCACTGTGTCAGTCTTGGGGTCAAGGTCAGGGGCAGCAGGTCGGGCCCACTTGCTCCTGGAGGTCCTGGTCTCCGGTCCAGCAGGTCCATCTCCCGAACCTGACGTGAAACAAAGGGGGCTTGTTGAGTATGTGGACCAATGATAATTTGTTCTGTCCACATCCACTTGTCCTGAACATACTGGCCTTGCTTCTTTTAATCATATATCCCTCCCTTGAACGATGGTCATTAGAGACTGTTCATAATTTATGGCTGATGTGTGTGTGTGTGTGTGTGTGTGTGTGTGTGTGTGTGTGTGAATGACGATTTTAAGGGGGTCACCCATTTTGTTCATGGCAGGAAGGGGGGTGGGTCATCAATTTTATATACATGTTCTAGAGGGGGTCAGCAATTTTGTACATAAAAATATTTTAAAATTATGCTTTTAAAAATAAGGGGAGGGGAGGGCGGTCATTGATTTTGTACATGACATGCAGGGGGTCACTTACTTTGTACATAAATTTTAAAGGGGGTAAATTCACATTCTCCATAAAAATCATCATCACCCCCAGCCATAATTATGACCGGTCCCTTAGCATTGTTGTTGTTTCCTGTTTAATGACTTTTTAAAGGCACAATGTCACACATTTTAAACAATATTTTTGTCCTATATTATATATAGGGGCACATGCACTCACTTTAGCTTCCTACTGATGAAATAAAAGACTTATTATCACTTACGACTTGCCTGAAATCAATAATTGAAACTTCGAGGCAAACAGCTTCCAAACAGATAAAACTGGCCATATATGGAATGTAAACAATTGCTCCGAACATCGAAAACTGGCGAGCGCTGTGTTGTTGGTGTTTGACGAACTGGGTGAATTTCACAATCACATATTGTGCATAGGATATTTGTAAAGAGCGCTCCAAGGAAATAACTCTATGGGGTTCGCTTGAAATAATGTTCGGTGGGTAGAGGGCATGAGAGCTGATTTAATGCAATGTTGCAGTAATTCATTCAAACTGTTTAATTAAATATTGCAATCTAAATACTTTAAAAAAAAAAATTTAATAAATAAATGGTAGCTTCCCTAAGGCCTGATAGTTAGCATTATTGAGAGAAGTGAGGTGTGATATAGTACCTTTAAGCAATATTCTGGCTATATGACATTGGTCTGTAAATAATTGAGTCTGGACCAGACAATCCATTGATTGACATGAGCAGCGATCTGCTCCATTGGGATACGATAACATGTGCCAGCCAAGTCAGTGAGCTTGAAAACCTGATTCTGTAAGTTATGACTTTTTAACCTGGATCTTCAGAGTCTGGTTTTCAGCAACCAATTCTAATTGTACCAGATGATAAATGGGACTGTGTGGTCATAATAGCAATCTGTAGTCTGTTTGGGTTCAAATGAGAACGACGAATGATCAAATAATAGGGATAAGTGCACAAAACATAAATAAGACACATGGTCCTAAAACCTCTGTACCCAAAAGGATCTGAAATCTGAACGTGACGCTGTTCCACCAGCTGTTTGTCACCCCTTGCTGGGAAGCGTGAAAGTAGCACAATATTACATGATGGTTTCTTAAACAACTTTATCCGTGATCGATCATAAAATGTCAGATTCTGTTGAGTACAGAGGTTTCAGGACTATGTGTCTTATTTATGTTTTGTGCACATATCCCTATTTTGAGATATTTAATCATTCATCGTTCTCATTTGAACCCAAACGGACTATAAAGTAATCCTAAAAAAGGCTCATGCTAATTTAGAAACTTTATAAGCTGGTCCACAATTGTGAAATATATTTTCTAATCAAGAAATTTGCTGTTGGTCAGAACGGCTGGAATCATTTACCCACCTCCAGCTGCCTCGTCCTCCATCATTTCATTCTCGAAGTCCTCCATCATTGCCAGGTCTGCTTCAAACTGGGATGGATCATCTTCCTCCTCGAACCTGATGTCATACGAGTGGGAGGTACATCAGCAAGCGATGCATGCATTAACAGGTTTGAGAGTTATGCAGTATAGCACAATATATTTGGGGTAGTGAGATAGCCTAGTGGTTTAAGCGTTCGCTCGTTAGCTGAAGACCCGGGTTCGATTCTCCACATGGGTATATGTGAAGCCCATTTCTGGAGTCCCCCGCCGTGATATTGCTGGAATATTGCTAAAGGTGGCGTAAAACTAAACTCACTCACAATATATAGCATTCCTAAATAGACTGAATGTATTGCATTTTTACCCTGCTTTAGGCAACATTTCAGCAATATCACATACTGTTCCCATGTGGGGAATTGAACCTGGTGTTTGGTGCGACAAGTGAATGCCATAACCATGGTTTGATGGAATTTGACCTTGGATGAACTTCTTGGATGAACTCGTGAGACAAAATGTCCATCATCATCCAAAACAAAAACAGAGGTTTTCTATAAGCATTATCACGTTTGAGGGATTTTACGGGACGCTTTAATCACCCCTCGCAGTTTTCCCACTAGTGTTGGGAATTGGTTGAAATCTCACAATTGCTTCATTACCAACAAACAATCATCGAAAAAAATTAGTTAGCGTCATTTTTCAGATTTTCCTATCCAGGTTGTTATTGCAGATATGTGTAACATGATGCAACTTGCTACTTTAAAGTGGGATGACTTATATATCCTGAACATAAACTTCCTGGAGTCTTCAAGAAATATTCAGTCATGGCTTTTCAGTTAGTGAAGTGAGTTTTCTAAGAATTAAACACGTTTTCAAGCACTGACAACTTCAACGATATGTTCCATTGTCAAGTATTTCAAAGACTAAAAAAGTAGTTAAAAAATCGTTTATGTTCGATTCTGAGAAAAGGTGATCGATCGCTTGGTCGTTTGGTCACTGCGATCAATCTTCGATTATTTCAATTAATCGGAACACCACTAGTTCCCACTTGTGTTTCCCAGTGATTAATTTATTAAGGGTCAAGTGCTTCACTTAGTCCTGATGAGCGCACCCTTCTTGCGTAAGAGACGGTAGGCGTACATGTAATGTCGTTATGTCTCTGACTGATTACATGACAGGCACACATTTCAACCAAAACAAGGAAGTTATTTCTGCTACTCTGACACAGCCATATATTTAAAAGTCCTGTTTTCTGAGTCTGTGGAAATACAAAGGTCCTGGAAAGCAGACTTGTCTGAGAAGCACAGACTGAAAAAAGCATATAACAACTCACCTGGATTTCTTTTTCGGGGTTGGTCCTTGGTAGCCCCCTTTCCTTTCCTCTTGTCCATCGTCGTTATGTCTGTGTCTGACAGAACATCAACAATAAGTGTAACCTTGGGAACAGTGAAGACTTAAGGGATAGTATATTTACAAATTCTGGGTGCATTTTTATCATGCATGATTTTCATTTCCAAAAGTGACATCACGCTTTGCATCACACACATCCATCAAGCTTTGTCCACTGAATATGGTGCCTTCAGAGAATCAAACATAACATTGGTTATTTCAAGATGGTAATCTGCACAAATAAAGAATAATTCGGAATTAGTTCCTTCTGTTCCTCCACTTCTGTCTTTCGCAGATTAACAGAGGTAACGCAACATGGTTTGACCCTATATATTGTAATTAATTTTTGGGCTTTTAGTTATTTTTGTGAGTTCTCTAGTAATTGTTGTGTTAGGTTTTGTTAATAATTTTTAGCATATATATATCAATTAATAAGACTCTCCAAAGATAAAAAAAAAGAAAAAAAGTTTGATTTATGAAACAGAGGCCAGGATTAGTTAAATAAATAGCTTAAGTGCATTACACTATCGATAAACATACGACCAAACCGGAAGCATGCAGTGGATAGTTTTCACACGCTCTGCGCATGCGCACAGCGAGTTGAAAAGTAATGTGAAACCAACGAATGGGCGGAAATCTTTCCATTTTCTCTCTCAAAATCAATAAAAAATAACAGTTCCCTTATATTAGATAAGTTGTAATCTTTAGAAGAGATAGTGCATCCATACCCTACCTCAAAACCTGATCCATGAGCTAGATAGACTTGGGTATAACCTGATCGATCCTAAATATCGTGGCACGTGAGGTCCGTAAAGCTTGACCCACACCGGGAACCTCAGACAATAATGGGAATATATATCCTGTTTGGATCTGTATTTCCCTAACTGGTTCAGGTAAGCTGATTTGTTATAACAAGTAATGATACCTGTCAATACAGAATGTGAAGGTAAATGACACTTTGAAATGTGGATGATGCTAATGACACAACCATGCATTCGCTGAAGAGGTCGTTGTCGGACGGGTACTACAGATATGTACCCCAGGTACGTTTCTGTATACAGAAACGTACCCTGGCCATAATGAGAATACAGAAAGGTACCCTTGGACGATTCCATTTCCATTGTGTCGTATTCTTGATCGGAGTTGTCATACTGTTGTATTAGATACATGTGATTGCGTTATGTAAGTAATGAGAATACACAGTAAAGGATATTTCGCGATGCATATGAATACCCAAAAAATCAGTTGAACGGGAACAACTACATGCGGTTTTGGTTTTGGATTGCGGAATATGGACTCGTCCGCCTTATAGGGTACCAGGTACGTTTCTGTATTTTGACATTGTTTAGGGTACATATCTGGGCCCCATATCTGTATACAGAAACGTACCTGGGGTACGTATATGTAGTACCTGTGCCGACAACGACCCCTTCAGCTGCATTCGCAGTCTTTCTAAGATGCGATGTCGATGTCTTGACGACAATATTTCGAAACATAATATATATTTAGTCAAATTAATGTGCTACGCAATAGATAACACTGAATCAATATCTGCATATGACTTACACACAACAACGTGTCAATGCAATATTATCACCGATTGTTATCAAACGACGTTTGTACTTCTGTGGCGGAATATGCTGACACTCACTTTCCCGCAATTATTTTGAAGTAACCGAAATGATTACATCCGGTAAACAAAAACGAACTAAGATGTTCTATATGCAGTAAACCCAAACAGACTTTCTTACTGTTATGTGCAGCTTATTATCCCTATCATGCATTGACACAGTAGGTCAAATATTTAATTCGACATATCTTTGAAAAATATAGTTTGAGTTTCATGAAATCCTTTCTCTCCAGGGGAAAAACAGTCCGTAATTTATATTAACCATGAAACACATTGACTTAGTTTCGTTTCGACGACTCGAAGTCAGCTGACCGTGCTTTGGTCGAAAAAGCGACCCCCTGACATATCCAGGTATGCTGAAACAATTCCGTAAATTATATGTCATTTAGAGTACATTTGGACCTTGCCTCTTCACGCAGACAACTGAGTCATGGCAGTGAAGATCTGTGGGTGTTAAACTTTCTTGGGCTGTTGGAGAACTACTGTTACAAACAGAAATAATATCATAGCCACCGAGGCCTCGTCGACTCACCGAACTCGTAGGAACAAATACTTAAGTGAAGACTTAGAGTAGAAATAACAAATGATACAAGTAAATCATAAAATTTAAATGACAGTATTGTATTATCACGTCACGTGTACATATTTCTAGTATTTTAACTAGCGCTTCCCCTTCTCTTTACTGTGTGTTTTAAGATAATGTTTGACTAAATGGTGTTATAGATAGTTATATATTTTCATACTCATTTTATATACATTTTCCTGACTCTGATATATTTATAAGTATGACCTATATATATCTTATATATATAGGTCATACTTATGAATATATCAGAGTCAGGCGCCTATTACTATGATATTTACTTAGGGAAAGCAGTGTTGTACGAAAATAGGTCTGGCGTGTCAATGCTCTGTGTTGTTTAGATATTCAGTGCAATGCACACACTTCAATTCTTGCACTCGCTCAATGTGTTGGGCACCACCGATCTCAACGACCGACACATTGAAGCCCGTGTTGCATTATTTTGTCTTTGTTTGCTTGTAAGGGGAGGTGGGGTAGCCTAGTGGTTAAAGCGTTTGCTTGTCACGCCGAAGGTCCGGGTTTCGATTCCCCACATGGGTACAAATACTACAATGTGTGAAGGCCAATTTTCTGGTGTCTCCTGCTGTGATATTGTTCGAATACTGCTAAAAGCAGCGTAAAAACATACTCACTCACTCACTCTTTGCATGTAACACTGGTATCTGCCTTAACTCCAGTGATATGACAGTTCTGCTAGCTATTTATTTTATAGAGACAGATACAGAAGCACTAATCTTATGAAAATGATTTCAACAGTCAACCCTTGCTGAATGGTCTTCTTGTTCTCTACCTCTATATAGTACTATATGTCTACCAGATTATCTGTTCATTATAGTATTTACCATGTTTACCATGGATCCTGAAGAGAAATACTAATACTTACCATATTTCTGTTCCATATTAACCATAATAATAAAGTTATAATTATTATTGAATTCCACTTTCAGTTTGAAAAATATTGTTTAAGCTATGGTGTTCAATATATCAATATCATGTATTTGTTTAAGTTTCATTTGGCATTGATGCCTGTATTTAATGTCTAGAAGTGGACTTTTGCTTCTTGTTCTAGCCCTGCTATCATTTTGCATGAAATTACGTTTGTTCCCAAATGTTGCTTGTGGTTGCCAAGAAACTAATGCAGTAAATTATGTTTAGAACAAACTCACAGATACAGCAAACTGTTTTATTGTTCCTAGCTATGCTGAATATTTTATCATATAAAATCGATGGATATGATATGCTGTAACAAACTGATAGATAAAGCAAATTCATGTTATGGACTGAAGTGTTCTCAGAGCGTCAAGGGGCGGTAGGGTAGCCTAGTGGTTAAAGCATTGGCTCATACGCCAAAGATCCGGGTTCGAATCTCCACATGGAAACAATGTGTGAAGCCCATTTCTGGTGTCCCCATGTTGCTGGAATATTGCTAAAAGCGGCGTCAAACCAAACTCAGTCAGTCAAAGCGTCAATGATAAGGTTTTTGTATATAATCATGATAATGAACTGATATTCTTTGAGCATCGCATATGTCACAATCAACCCATCACAACTTCGGTACCGAATCATTGCAGTTCAAAGTGGCAATACACAATTGAAGGAAAGTGAATTATTGTATTAAGTTTCCACATCTTGTGTTCAATTTACACCCTAAATTAACAATAGTAAAACATCGAAAAGACAGTGTTATCTATGATAAATTTGACACACAAGCAATTCTTACCTGCAAAGACTGCTCTTTGGATAAATCATAGTAAGCTTTCCTTGGTTTAGTTTGGTCATTATGACGATGTTCTGCCCAGTAGCAGTATATAGGCTGGTATTTAGAAAACCATGAAATAGAATATGCCCACCTTCTTTCTCCAAGAAAAGAGGGGATAAAAATAAAAGAGTTTAAATTTTTAAAATAGGCATTAATTAAATACAGTGAGTGATGACTTGCCTTTGTTCACCCAGCAGTGAATGGGTACTCGGTGGGATCAGATGGTTATATGACTGTTAACCTTTTAACACCTCAGGTTAATCGGGAAACATGTCTGAGGTGGATATTAGGTACCCTTCAAATGTATTAAGATATTAAACATTATTTCCAGACATAAGACAAGAGTAGCCATCTGAGTAACTGTCCAACAGACACCTGCAAGCCAGGATGGGGTCATTTGATGGGGATGCCTTTAAAAGACAGCTGGACACAGTGGCTATTGGAAGGAATTTTACCTACCTGGAGACAACGTCCTCAACGATGGATGATGCAAAAGATCTGTGTGCTAAAGGTAAACTTACAATTACAGAATGCATTGAGTGAAGATTTGATAGGGGTTTCATGCAGAACCTGTAACCTGGATGAATCCGCCGCCGGTGTAGCATCATGGGATGATGTGGATAATTATTGTGAAGAGATTCCATTTCAGAATAGGTGCCCAGTATCCATTGCTTGTCTCTGTGTAGAGATTCCATTTCAGAATAGGTGCCCAGTATCCATTGCTTGTCTCTCTGTAGAGATTCCATTTCAGAATAGGTCCCCAGTATCCAATCCTAGTCTCTGTGTAGAGATTCCATTTCAGAATAGGTGCCCAGTATCCATTCCTTGTCTCTGTGTAGAGATTCCATTTCAGAATAGGTGCCCAGTATCCATCCCTTGTCTTAGTGTAGAGATTCCATTTCAGAATAGGTCCCCAGTATCCAATCCTTGTCTCTGTGTAGAGATTCCATTTCAGAATAGGTGCCCAGTATCCAATCCTTGTCTTAGTGTAGAGATTCCATTTCAGAATAGGTCCCCAGTATCCAATCCTTGTCTCTGTGTAGAGATTCCATTTCAGAATAGGTGCCCAGTATCCAATCCTTGTCTCTGTGTAGAGATTCCATTTCAGAATAGGTGCCCAGTATCCATTCCTTGTCTCTGTGTAGAGATTCCATTTCAGCCCAGTATCCATCCCTTGTCTTAGTGTAGAGATTCCTTTTCAGAATAGGTGCCCAGTATCCAACTCCTTGTCTCTGTGTAGAGATTCCATTTCAGAATAGGTACCCAGTATCCAATCCTTGTCTCTGTGTAGAGATTCCATTTCAGAATAGGTGCCCAGTATCCAATCCTTGTCTTAGTGTAGAGATTCCATTTCAGAATAGGTACCCAGTATCCAATCCTTGTCTCTGTGAAGAGATTCCATTTCAGAATAGGTGCCCAGTATCCATTCCTTGTCTCTGTGTAGAGATTCCATTTCAGAATAGGTGCCCAGTATCCAATCCTTGTCTCTGTGTAGAGATTCCATTTCAGAATAGGTGCCCAGTATCCAATCCTTGTCTTTGTGTAGAGATTCCATTTCAGAATAGGTCCCCAGTATCCAATCCTTGTCTCTGTGTAGAGATTCCATTTCAGAATAGGTACCCAGTATCCAATCCTTGTCTCTGTGTAGAGATTCCATTTCAGAATAGGTGCCCAGTATCCAATCCTTGTCTCTGTGTAGAGATTCCATTTCAGAATAGGTACCCAGTATCCAATCCTTGTCTCTGTGTAGAGATTCCATTTCAGAATAGGTGCCCAGTATCCAATCCTTGTCTCTGTGTAGAGATTCCATTTCAGAATAGGTGCCCAGTATCCAATCCTTGTCTCTGTGTAGAGATTCCATTTCAGAATAGGTGCCCAGTATCCAATCCTTGTCTCTGTGTAGAGATTCCATTTCAGAATAGGTACCCAGTATCCAATCCTTGTCTCTGTGTAAAGATTCCATTTCAGAATAGGTCCCCAGTATCCAATCCTTGTCTCTGTGTAGAGATTCCATTTCAGAATAGGTGCCTAGTATCCATTCCTTGTCTATCGGTAGAGATTCCAGTCCTGGAAAGGCCCCTAGTATCCCATACATTTCTGTGTGGATATTTCAGGGCCAAATATGCCCTTCTTCCCATTAGTCAATAACAAGCTAAAAGAATACAACCAAAATATGGTGGATGGTTGTAAAGAGCTGAACCTGTTGTTCCAGGAACTGGTAGCCATGGCAGTGTTGTGATGGCGGAGATGCAAACAAAGGCTCGCGGATCCAGAAACAGAAAATGGAAGGCAGATTCTGAAGGAAATATATATACATCAATTGTCATTATGTGATGACCCAAACAAAAATGTAAGTGTTCCTCAATCTCAATAACTGGGATATAAACATACCTTGTAGGTGAGGGTATTACGTGAAGGATCCAAACAGACTCCGAGGTTTGGATCCAACTTATGAACCGACTGAAGATATACTTTAGATATAATTTTAATATTTGGTATTTACTGTTCAATCAACTGGGATGCAACTGGCAACCGATACTTGCCTTGTACGGGCAATGCACATGCTCTGCATGCACTATCCGTCTTGTGATAAACACTAGGTTCATACTGACAAACAATCATGATCTTCACAGTGATCCTTCGTAGCCTGGTGGATAAAACTGCCAAGCTAGAAAACTAAGGGTTGCAGGTTCGAACCAGGCATCAGCACAATATGTTGGACGTTTTCAATAATGTGATATTTTATCTATGCCGTTGTTAATAAATTCTGTCTCTTGAACGTGGGTTTTCTGTAAACAGAGTTTTGAAGGAGTCTTCACAATGGAAGTGGCTGCCTGTCTGTCTGTCCGAGAGGCTTTAGTGGAGCAGGGTGTGACAGGAATCTACACAAAATGGCCGAATGATCTCTGGCTCCGAGGTCACAAACTGTGTGGGGTGATGGTTGAACCATATGGTACATTTATCCTTTTTTAACTTGCATTTCATGAGGGGCATAATTTTCAACAATACTAGCGAGCACTCACCTGGACTGTCCACATCATTTCATATAAGACAATTTCAGATTTAAGAAGCCACTTTTTAGACCGTAACAATTACAGGAACAAATATGGTTGCAGACTAAAATATTTATTTCAAGCTTCAAGATGGTTAGGGACCATTCATAATTAATGGCTAGGGAAGGTCACCCATTTTTGTTTTGGGGTCATCAATTTTGTACATAAAAACATTTAAATACAGTCATCCCTCGCCACAACGCGGGTCTTGGGGTCCATGGATGCCCCCCCGCATTGTTAGACACCCGCGTTATAGTAACTATTACATAACGAGGAACAAAGGCCAAGTAAAATCGTTTTTCCATGGAGTGTATGATGGACATGACAAAACTGCTATTTCGTGTATTGTGCCCAGTCAAAACTATATCGTATTGTTGAAAATAGAAAATGAAAATAGATGTATGTACTGGAAACTTGCAATCAAACATCACAAGACATGATAATTCAATTGTTGTTCCTGTCATGCTACCTGTAATTCAACTAAGCCGGAAATAGCAATCAGCTGTGCACAGATGTTTTGGTCCAATGTACTGGTGATTCAGTTAAAAACCATCCGAAAAACATAGATATGTACTAAACCCTGTTAATTGCAATCCGCACTGAATTTCGCAAGTTTACAATTTGTTTCCGGAGCACAACGCGAAAACTTTACCTTCAGCAAAACTTTCCATCGCGGCAAACGATTACACTTAGTCTAAAAATCAAACGTTGATTAACCAGAGCTCAACAGCGGATTTGTTGATGTGCTATTTTCGATGACGTGAATATGTGTGATCACTGGGCAACTATTTTTTATGGGAGCCATGGATTACCCCGCAGTTTAACCGAATCCAAGGTATCGCGAAGAGCATTATTGCGAGGGATGACTGTACTATGCTTAAAAATTATGGGGTGGGGGTGGGGGATTTGATTTTGTACATGACATTTAGTAGGGTCACTTAATTTGAGGGGGTGGGGGTGGTCATTTGCATTATACATGCTTCTCCATAAAAATCACATCCCGGCCTTAGCCATAAATTATGATCAGTCCCTTTGAGTCAATATTACTGAATTTGTCAGCTTCATCTAAATTTTAAAGTGACCATTTTTGATTTTCTTTGAGATTGTCTCAAGATGAGAAGGTTTACCTGTTATTACTCACAGTGGAATATCACACCAGCCACTTGGGCTGTCAAGACTACAAACTAGCCAGGAACAATAGAAAGTAGCCATGAGCTACCAGGCAAGCTGGTTTGGTCTTCTTGTTGGTGTTACCATTGTTACAGGAGAGGTAATAATAAAGATAATAATAAAGAGACTTGACACTTAACACTTTGGTCTTGTAATGCATAATGATTTGAGTTTCATTTACAAATTGCTCTTATAATCTCAGTCCCAAATATTCAGTATACATTCATAAAGTGAATTAAAGATATCCCTCCTCAGATTATAGTAAACAGATTTATGACAATCTGGGCCCCAATTCACTAAGTGATTGTAGTCCCATACTTCAGCCAGCGTTTAAAATTCCTGCCTGCCCGACCGCCCGGAACGGTCTATTTACATCTCAGTGAATGGAGCTTGCGCAAGTTGGAAATGGCAGTCACAGTTTTTATCCCCCACAACGCGCTTTTGCAGGGGTATTAAAATGGACTCTGTCCGTCCGTCTGTCCTTCCGTGCACATTTGTCTTTTCCGGAGCAAAACTCTAAAACCGTTCACTATTTTCTCACCAAACTTGGCACATAGATAGATCTGGTGGTGTACTGGTGCCTTTTGGTAGTTTTGGAATTCTGAATAAAATATTTTTGGCTTTCCCGTGGCAACAAGTTTGACTAAAACAGAAATTAGTGGTAGTGCACTTTTCCGGAGGAGAACTCTAAAACCGTTCAATGTTTCTTCACCAAACTTGGCACATACATAGATCTGGTGGTGTACTGGTGCCTTTTGGTAGTTTTGGATTTCTGAATAAAATATTTTTGGCATTTCCATGGCAACAAGTTTGACATAGACTGAAATTGGTGATAGTGCTCCTTTCTGGAGCAGAACTTTAAAAACCTTTCAATACTCTCCTTCCACTTTTCTATATACATACCTAAATATTTGACATAATCATAACTTGTAGACATAATCATGAAGTGTATTTTGCCATTGAAAAGGGGATATTGATGACTTTGTCTTCTTGTTAATTGTTGAAAACCGGACAGGCAAGTTTGTATCTGGACTGGTAATTTTTAAAGTTACCAGTCCTACTGTCTGGCTTGGAAGTTTGAGAGTTTTGAACACTGCTTCAGCATGGACTTACAACCGTCGTAGCACTACAATCGCTTTGTGAATTGGGGCCCAGATTGTCATAAATCTGAGGTTTACTATAACCTGAGGAGGGATATCTTTAATTTAGTTTATGAATGTTAACTAGGTGTGGTATCCAGTCCTTTCCATGGGCCATATGTGCTCCAGTAGTCTGTCTCATGGTCCCTGAACCACATTATGTTCCCTGTCTAGCCCTCCCTGCAATGCTAAAGCCCTAAATGAAGGAAGTCTAGATTTCCTCAGGTTCTTAATCCTCCATCTCACTGGGGCTTTTTGTCAATTTAATGGGTTTTTTTGTCTCTATCAAAAGTATACATATCCAGAGACTAGCATCAGTCTAGTGGTCCAGTAAATTCATTGTGCAGAGCTAAATGTCAACCACTTTAACCTAACACACTTTGATATAGCTGGTATTCTGTTGGGTTATGTTTAACGTCGCTTCACTCACTGTTCAAATTGGGGTTTAAACTCACTCACTCACTGTTTAAGTAGGGTTTAATCTCACTCACTCACATATTAGATTCTCCAACAATATTATTTTTGTACTTTTGATATAGAAAAGAAAACACGATCAACACATTCTTGACACTAACTAATAAATTGCGAAAAGAACATTTGCCCTTGATAATGATATTATTGAATACGGTAATTCATATTTCCGTGTTCTTTATGATTTGTCATTCTTTTTAGAAATGGACAGCAGTCTGTATGTCCTGGGAATCGGTCTCAACCTGAATGCTGACTGTAGGAGAGACCCTGATTTATGCTCCATTGCTACCAGTGTTAGGTGTGAAAGACATGGCGTCGGTCTATCAAGGGAGACAACTCTGGCTTACTTGTGTAACAGGTTAGAGAAGAACCTGACAAAGACCCAGTCAGATCTGCGGCAGATGTTTTACAGCATCACCTGTATAAGCCATCCGATGGTATCGTGGTTCAACAGGATGGGAAATTGTCGGATGGAATTTTCAAGAAAGTACTTGAAAACTGGAACATTGAAGTCAGTTGTAAGTTTTGGGGTAGTTTTCTTAGTTTTGAAAGTTTTCATGTGTCCTTGCAAAATTTACTATGTAAAGCACTTATTTATATACACCAGCACTTACTAAGTAAAGTACACTTACAGTTTACACCAGCACTTACTAAGTTAAGTAGCACTTACAGTTTACACCAGCACTTACGAAGTAAAGTAGCACTTAAGGTTTACACCAGCACTTACTAATTAAAGTAGCACTATACTTTACACCTGCACTTACTAAGTAGCACTTACAGTTTACACCTGCACTTACTAAGTAGCACTTACCGTATCTACTAGCACTTACTATCTAAAGTATCCCTTATAATATTTGCTAGCAATTACTGGGTAGACTAGTATATATTATCCGTATCAACATTTACTTTATGTCCAGCCATTTTATAATGGTGGACAGCAAGAATGGGTTCCACATTTTTTAGCATTTTCTCTTATTAACAGAGGGAAGTGAATTAGCCTAGTGGTTAAAGTGATCTCTTGACACATCAAAGACCTAGGTTCAGTTCCCCACTTGGATACATAAGTGCTAAGCCAATACTTGTTTTTTTCTTGGATAAGCCATTTAGCTTCATTGTTAATTTATTATAGTTTTGTATGTCATTCTAGATAGAAATGGTGACACAGTCAGTGGAACAAGTCGACAACTGTCAGTCCGGCCGGCGCCATCTCAGACAATATATGTGTGCGAGGGAGGGGGACTGGTCAGTGCAAGTACTGGAAGGCTCTACCAGACTCTGGTATCTCTTACTGACCTGAGCAGCACGTGTGTGGCCCACCTGGACATCAAGCAGTGTACACTTCCTGGAGACCAGTCAGCAGGACAGACTCTGGTTGCCGTGGGCGATGTGAAACTTGACACAGATGCAGGAGACGGGGTCAGTATGGTCATGACCCCTGAACTGGTCAAGCTGGGGCACCTGCTGAAGGAACTTCTGTTCAAGGGAGGATCTGTCCTGGGCGTGGCTGGAGGATGTATCCTGGTCCGGAGACTCCTGGAGGAGTGTTGCCAAGGTAACCATTGCAAAATTGATTGGACTTATCTTCTTTTGGATGATAGGAACATTCTACCCATATTGACAGCAAATCTGGTTTAGCAGATTTATACACTAGGTACCATCTCATGGAATATATGTTTTCTGTGTTACCTACTGGTATAATTACTTCTTGATGTAAGCACCTATGAAGATCCCGTTAGAGTTGATCTTCAGTAACCCATGCTTGTCATAAGAGACGACTAACAGGATCGGGTGGTCAGGCTGGCGGACTTGGTTGACCATGTCTTGGTGTCTCAGTTGTGTAAATCGATGCTATCAATCACAGGATTGTCTTCTCCTCGCTCGATTCTTTACTGACCATTGTCATATAGCTGGAATACTGCTGAGTATCATCACAAGGATGAAGGAGGTGAGGTGAGGTGAAATTGGGTTTAACGGTGTGCTTGAGAATATTTCGCTCATATGACGACGTGCATGCATGTGTATGTGTATGTGCGGCTGCTTGTACTAGCCCAGACTTTAGCTAGTTTTATAGTGCTAGCCCACTGAGATACCATGCTGCAGTGAAGCATGAATACCCCACTCAGACACATTATACTGACTCCGAGCCGACCAGTCCTTGTTGTACCCATTAATGCCGAGCGCCATGCAGGGACCAACAAGTACCATATTTTAACGTCTTTTGGTATGACGTGGTCGGGGGTCGTACCCGCGACCTTCCACTCTCAGGGGCGGACGCTCTAACCACTACACCACGGAGGCGGTCCAACATGAAGGAACGAGAATTAGCTCTGAAACGTCATATAAAGAATAAAAGTTGTTATCTATAAAAATGTGTCATGTATTCACGTTCGTCCAACTTCTAAAGGCCTTTCAAGAATTTTATTGCGGAGTAGCATTAAACAATAAACAAACAGGATGTAAACATGTTTTGGGGAACCTTTCACCTTGTTACTGAGAAAAATATTGTTATCTTAAAGTCAAAATTAATCCATCATCCAAATATGGTAAAATAAATTTTCCACATTTCTCAAAGGTATAAGAATCTGAAACTGTCTAGATGACCTTCATTTTACGGGATGGTCTCAAGGACATGAAGTTTTCTACATTTTCATATTTTTATTGTTGTTTACAAAAAATGAAATATAGCACTGAAACTGAAGATGCATTTTTGTGAATATTGTTTTCCTTGAAACAGTTCTAATTTCATGATCTTCTCCATCTCAGGATCTCAGTGCGACCCAGTCATCCAATTACAAACAGACAACACATCGATCTCAGTACAGACAACCGGTGAACCAGTATCACACTTTACCCTCCCCCTTGAAGGGCTTCAGCTGAAGACATCCTCCACTTCCCCTGGTCAAGTGTTGGCGGTGTATGACGACGACCTCAGTCCAGCCGTGGTCTGTAGAACCTGCTCTGGAGGGACGGTATGCTTCTGTCTCCCCAACATCGAGGTCACCTATGCCGACGTTGATGACCCAACTCTGTCTCACAGTATGAAGGAAGGAGTGTTCTACAGAGATGCCTTGGTGCAGAAAATGTTGTCGAGTCTTGGCTTCTGAAGATTGTTATGAAGTCAGTATTTCACTTGGTCTTCAGATTTAGGAGTTCAGGAAACTGAGATGAATTAGTGAAAATGGATTCCATTTTCTTGTCATTTTTTCAGTGAATTGTTATTAATCAGAAATTCCTTTAACTTGATGTATTAATAAAGATGTAGCTTTGTGCTTCCCTCACAGTCATGGTAATATACCTTACAGCTATATGATCTAATCTGAACTGTGATATGATATCTGCATTGTGGTTGAATATATACTCTGGTGTAATAACCGTGTTAGGGTTAATATCTGCATTATTGTTTTATAACTGCACTATGATCTAATATCTGTATTGTGTTCTTATATGTCCACTATGGTCTAATAATCATGCTAAGGTCTAATATCTGCTGTATGGTCTAATATCTCCACAATGGTTATAATATCTGCTCTTCTGTCTAATATCTATGATCTATTATCTACGTTGTGGTCTTCTATCTTCAGCATGGTCTACTGCCTCCATGGTGTAGTGGTTAGAGCTTCCGCCCGGAGAGTGGAAGATCACGGGTTCGATCCCCGAGCTCGCGTCATACCAAAAGACGTATAAAATATGGTACTTGTTGGTCCCTGTCTGGCGCTCGGCATTAATGGGTACAAGGACTGGTTGGCTCGGAGTCAGTTTAATGTGTCTGAGTGGGGTATTCATGCTTCACTGCGGCATGGTATCTCAGTGGACTAGCACTATAAAACCAGCTTCAGTCTGGGCTAGTACAAGCAGCCTCACATACACATACACATACATGTACGTTGTCATATGAGCGAAATATTCTCAAGCACGATGTTAAACCCAATTTCACCATCTCACCTCAGCATGGTCTAATATCTGCATAATGATCTAAATGTTTGAACTTATCCTATCTCACATTATAAACTTTCTCTTCAACTTCTTCTGACAGTGGAGGGGCGGTGGGATAGTCTAGTGGTTAAAGCGTTGGCTTGTCACGCCAAAGACCCAGGTTCGATTCCCCACATGGGCACAATGTGTGAAGCCCATTTCTGGTGTCCCCCGCCGTGATGTTGCTGGAATATTTGCTAAAAGCGGCGTAAAACTAAACTCAGTCAGTCAGTCCGACAGTGGAGTGGAAATGACCTGTTCAACACTTTCAATCTCTCTGAACCCCTCGTCAAAGCATAACGTGAAATAGCATCATATATATGCAATTTATATTTCAAAGTTTCAGTATCTGCACTAAGGGATAATATTCAATCCTGTAAAATTTGAACCATGGTGTGATGGGTATAATTTGTGAAGCCCATTTCTGGTGTCCCCTGCCGTGATGTAAAACCAAATTCAGTCAGTCAGTACTCCGTTATTATCCAGTTTATCCTTTTCGGCTTGCGTACCTATGTATCTTTAAAGATTTTTATTTACTGATCGAGTACTCCTTTTACATTTATATATTCTGTACACTATGTATATTAGAAACACACTTATGACACACTGTTTTTAGGTCAGGGCCACACGCTTCATATTTTACTTCTAATGAATTATGGTTATAACAAACTTAAATTAGTGGTCCTTCACGTTCAATATAACCATACCTTACTTCCTTTCATACCTATACAGTAATTGGATGCTCAGATCAACCTATTTACAGGGCTCTTGTAACAGAGCTTTAAATGATCTAGTCTGGAAACAATTAGTGTATCTCAATCAGTTATATATGTATGGATTGAAAAGTGATTTCATGAATGCAAATAAAATCACTAGATGTTTGTTTGCAGGCTACAGATGCAGGAGAAAAACAATATGCTATGTTATGCTTTGTTATCTTGTGTATGCTCACCATACAATGTAGTTTTTTTTAAAAACAAAAATATACTGAGGGAAAGAAAAAAGGGAACAGATGAAATTACAAGTGATCCTTTATTTTTCAAGTTTCTTCCCAGGTTTTGAATTGCTCTGTGTGATAATCTTATAATGAATAAAGGACCACTTTATGAAGAATATCCTATGTGCATCAATAGGAAGCTAAAGTGAGTGCATATGCCCCAATATATATAATATAAGCCAAATATATTGTCGAAAATGTGTGAAATTGTGCTTTTAAATCTCATGTGTGCCTTTTGCAAAATGTGATGCAGCTTCCTTGATTGTTGTATTGTATTTTGTTGATCTGATTGTTACATGATAATTGTTACGATATATATTTTTATTGTTCTGCTTTATGATGTTGTCGGATTATAGAAGCATGGTGATCTATTTTGTGCCAAATATCATCGAGATTGTTGAAAAACTACACAACTCCTCAAGTAGATGGAAAACAGTTTTATAACAATAATTACCCAGAAATATTTATTTCAACATATAAAAGTAACAGAAAGCCACTGATGGTGAACACTGAGTACTCAATAATTCTCACAGTACTCACCATCTTTATGAGATTTGTTCATGGCGTCCAACAATAAACAGCTGTAAACATTTATTGAAAAATCAGCATGTCCACATATATGAATAAAAGTGAATATGAGCTCAAATCTTTGTCTTTTATTGTCAGTGTGTGAAGTAATTGTTCAGTTCTAGTTGCAGGTAATCGTGTCATCTCTACAATCTGGCATGCTGTCTAAACCGGATTATTTTTTCAGTCCTGACGAGTGCCGGTTTAGACAGATTCCACTGTATTAGATACAGACATTCTCATGATTTCCAAGTCAATATGAAATATGAAAATAAACAGAGTGAATTCAAGAAAATTGTTAATAAGAAGTTTAGATATGATGCCAATATGTGGATGTTAATGTCTGTAGTATGAGTACGCGTGGTGGCTCGTGGTCCTGTGCTCAAAGCTCAGGTCACAAGTCGGTGAAGTTAAGCAGCATCGAGCTCGGAGAGTCCTTGGATGGGTGACCGTGTTTGGCAGCTTGACTCCTGATAGTTTCTAGGACTTAAGTCCTGCCCCACAACGAAGCACATGTGACACATGTTGTCTCACCTTAGGCCAGTGAGTTTGTTCAAAATTGTCTCTGTTCACCCAGCAGGAAAATGGGTACCCGGTGGAAAAAAGTCATATGACTATAACCTTCTAGCGCCTAACAGGCAGCTTGGGTTATCTGGGGTAATAATGTGCTGTGCCTTGATTGTTAGCGCTATGAGCATACCTAGTGTGGAGTTTGGCGCTATATAAATTGACACATTATTATTATTATTATTATTATGAGGAAACATGCGACAAAGTGCATTCCTTTCCTTCATTGAGAGATCATCATGTGTATCACTTTCAAATGCCATTTAAAGACTTTCATCAGTCCAGAATTAAGCACGTGTGTGTCCTTATTCTCAAAGGGTGGAGAGTTATCTTTACAATATATTTTGAGTTTATATTTCTGTTATGACCACAGAGCTCCAGATAAGATTTAGCTCATGTGGGTACTGTACCCACTGTATTTTTGTGGAGTGGGTATTATGAATGTTGAGTGGGTATTTCTTTTTCTGTTACCCACTGCTTTCAAATATGTGCTTATTTCAGTCATTTTACTCACCGAAGTATATGCCATTGAGTAAGTTTACTAAGCAGTATGTTCTGCCTTATGTCATACCTAATCAAAACCAACTTAAATATAATGGAAATGATTTCATAAACAATCACTCATCTTATACTGACAGTACAACACTAGTCCTATACTAACAGTACAACTTGATAGCAATCGATGTCTTTTTCATTACGCAAGCGATTTTTATAAATATATTCCGTACGCATTTGTTTTAGACTCTCTGCGTATCTAACATTTTAAATGCGTAATTGGTACGCAACAATTATTTTTCAATGTGTAATTCTATGCGTATTCTACCCGGATACGCAGCTTATCTGGGCCTCTGTGATCAGATTGATTAATTGATAAAAATGTCAGCTACAAATATCCAATGCAAAATGAATACTAATATGCAAAGAGTGAACTTACAACATGGAGAAGCCATCTTTGGTAATCAGATATTTTGGATAATTTAAGTGATCATCATATGATGATGGCACCCTGGTGGCACCCTTGTTTGAGGTGGTGCTGTTTGCTGTACAGAGTTGCCTCCCTTTGGCATTCCAGGATTGTGTGCATTCAAGTCCTGGCTCACCCTGATTATGCTTCAAGGACCATACCCGTGCTTATGGTTTTCACCAAAGTGGGAAAGGTCTGTGTCAGTTCTACCTTCCCTCCGACATCAAGCCAACAAAACCTGATATTACTGGAATACTGTTCAATTACAAGTCTAGAATTGATACATGATGGTTATTTAGCTGTTGTATCACGCTAATAAATAATAGAAATGATCATTTCAAAGTCTCAGATAATGGTTGTTTTGAAAAGAGTATTATTAAAACTTCAGGGGTGGAAATAACCCATTGCCCGACGTCCGAGTCCAGTGTTTTTCTGTAGGGCAAGCAAATTTGTATATCACACTGTACCAGTGTTTAGTTGACTTTCCAATGTTAATTATGTTGTTTATTTTAAAAAATCAACAAGAAAACGGCCGGTATAGTGGAACAATTATCAGGGCAAGTGATTTTACATGTGCCACTGTACCGAGTAGCTAGCAATTTTAAAGTTATTTCCACCCCTGTAAAACCAACATGATGGGTGTTGTTTATGGAAAGTAACATGTTACCGACATTGTCAGTTGTCTAATCATGTATTATCAAATAACAAAATGATAATTACAGTGACATCTTTTTAATGCTTACTTACCGGTTTTAAAACAATATCTGATACTCTTACTCTAAGTTGTTTAAGAGCAAAAAAATCCATTATTAATGTATTAGTTGTTTTTGTGACCCCAGGCCCCGATTTCTCGAAGCAAACTTAAGTTTTTACTCAAATTTTAAACTGAGTTTGACAAATTGAAACAGCTGAATTTTTAACTCAACTGTATTTTTAAAATAGAAAAGCCCATACAAACTTAAGTCATCTATCCACTAAACTCAAATTGTCTACTATGTTTGAGTTTAATATCGATTTCAGTTCATTCTGGGAAAAACGTTTTCCTGCGTTTTCTCAAATTTAAGAAAAAAACTTTAACTTAAGTCAAAACTCAGACTTAAGTTTGTTTCGAGAAATCGGGGCCAGAAGATCCTATTTAGAACTGGTCTTCAGCAACCGATGCTTGTGGTAAGAGGCGACTAAATGGATTGGTGATTAGGTTAATGTGTATGTCATCATTTCCCATTTTCTAGTACATGATGTCAGTCACTGGATTGTCTGGTCCATATTCGATTATTTTCATACCAGTGCAATGTAACTTCATTGAATGGCATTTTTAGAAGTTGGAGATTCAGATATGGACAAACTTTAGGATGAACAACTTCTTTATTCAGGTGATGCGTCGTTTCGAGACAGATTATTGTATCGTATTCCTGGGCCCCGTTTCACAAATCTCTCGTAGCGCTACGACAATCGTAAGTCAATGTTACAGTATAGGAGGTCCTTTCTGGTGTCCCCCGCCGTGATGTTGCTGGAATATTGCTAAAAGCGGCGTAAAACCAAACTCAGTCAGTCAGTATAGGAGGTAGGAATGCTTCGAGGAGAGGTACGAGATCTTTGGCTTACGAGAGCTTTGTGAAACGGGGCCCTGACTGGCAACCTGCCTGGCAGTGATACAAGAATCTGTATCGAAACGTCGCATCACCTGATTAAAGATTAAGATTTTAAGTCACATCGGCAATATTTCAGCCATATCGTACCTGAATAGAAAAGACAAGCTGTTCATCCACAAAGTTTATCCGTATCTCACTGTAATGTACCTCGTTAGGATGAGAAAGCCAGAATAACTCGGTGCGCCTAGTGGCTGCAAGAGTTGTATACTCCCCAGGGAGTTGAGATTGATAATACGATGTGCCATTGAGATTGACATCCAATGATCGAGGGAAAAACATATTAGCGCCTTGAGCAAGCACTAGTTGCCTGGATATGTGCGCTATATAAGTATCATGTCATAATAATAATAATAATAATAATAATGTTGCTGGAATGTTGCTGAGTACAGCTTTAAACAAAATATGTTTGAGGTACGACTTTGCTGAAACACTGCAGATGTGATAAAGAAAGTTTCCATTGCCCTAGGGGGTTGTTTTCTTGAAAGACTGACCATCTGAGAACGCAAACTTTAAAAAGTGGTTTAGTGCACTACGCTTAAAAAATACCAGCGCCTTGAGCATGTACTAGTTGCATGGATATGTGCGCTATATAAATATCCTATAATAAATGATAATAAATAATTAAAAAGCTTATTTTTGTGTGAAAACATTCACAACTCGCTCTCTCATTTACCAGTGTACTCAATAAGTCTCAGAATAAATATTTGAATGTGAAAATGTGAAAGCATCAGGCTTATGTCAATGTCTTCGTGTGATTCTCAAAGGTGAATGGCGAACATCTAAACAAAATGTGCATAACTCTCTAGCATATAGTGTAATAATGATCTATCATTCTGAATGAACAGCATATAAGGCACGCGTCATTTTTCCATCAAAAGCAAAACACAGATGCATTGGCGGATCCAGAAGGGTGGGGAGGTGGGGTTCGAACCCCCTCTCTTTTGAAAATGACTTAAGACCACATTGAAGATTTGTTTGGGGGTTCAGGGGGTTTGAACCACACACACACACGCACACGCACGCACGCACGCACGCACACACACACACACACACACACACACACACCTCCCTTTCAAAATTCCTGGATCCGCCCATGCAGATGTATCCGGTAGCTGGATGAAGTACAGAGATGAAGAGCCAGACAAGTGGTACCTTAATACCGCAGTTTCTACAGGACAGAACTATGCAAATAAACTGAAAATAAATATTTCATCAATGAATGATACACATGGTTCACAACTTGGCTGTGTCCAAAAATGATGCATGGCTTCTTTCGGGATGAAGTTTCTTGGCAAATAAAGATGGATCTGTACCTCTTTCATGTCTTGGTTTCCTCAGGACAATTTGATGCCCCTTGGGATTAGTGGATGGCAGCTGATCCTGCTGCTGTTGTGTCCGAGGTTGGGGAGTTAGCGATGGAGGGAGTGACGTCGCCGTGAAACACTGTTTCCGGTTCTTTATGGTCACTGGCAACTGACGTGTTCTGGGAGTCGGTCGGAACTTTGAACAACCCCGTCTTTCCCATCAGCCAGAAGGTGCATAGTCTTCCTTTACCCTTCGGATAAAAAACACAGATATTAAACTTTGACAGTTGATTAAGATGCCAACTCTGAACTATTCATCGCCAAAATAAGGACTGTGAACATTTAACGATACCAGTGGTGTTAATGACTACCTTCTGAAAAGTGCTACATTCCACCAAGATGTCCGTAACTCGCATATTTTAACAGATCACAGTTGTAGTACGACAATACCCGTGATGATCCTGGTTAGAATTGGCCTTAAGCAACTCGTGCTTGTCGTAAATAAAGCGACTAACAGGACCAGGAGGTCAGGCTCACTGACTTGGTTGACACCTCATCGATTATTTACTGACTGCAGCCATGTAGCTGTAATACTGTTGAATGCGGGGTTATGCCCCTCCCCACCCCCAACCCCACCCTCAAAACCCCCAAACAACAACAAAACAAAACAACAACAAACAACCCCAAAAACCAAACCAAAACTACAACAACCAAAACACCCCCAAAAACCCCAAACAAACAAATAAACAAACAAACCCAAAACAAAACAAAAGGCAAAACAATCAAAACAAAACAATACAAATAAAAAACTTTATGATAGCTACAATAAAACAAATAAAACCCCTAAAAACGAACAAAACAAACCCCCCACCCCTCCCCCAAGGAAAAAAAACAAATCAAAACATAACAAAACAAAACAAAAAGCCTCCCCAAACAAAACACAAAACAAACAAACAAAAAAAACCCACAAAATCAAAAACATTAAACAAACGTAGGACAATACCCTTGTTGAGGAGATTCTGATTTAATGGGTGAATTATACATTCTGCTGTTTATATGCAGAATGGTACGATAAGGTATTTTTATGTTTTGTTTATTATTAAGTTCAGAGGTTGGGTTACCTTAATCTCTACCTTTCCCCTTTCAACCACATCATAGAGTGGGTTCTTCTTCAGAAGTGCAGCGGATGACCCACTCAGGTGTATCTTCAGAGCTGGAACGGGTAAATGTATAAAGCTGTAATAATAATACCCTACACGTGAAGATCCGGGTTAGAATTGGTCTTCAGCAACCCATGCCTGTCGTAAGAGACGACTTTTGGGATCGGGTGGTCAGGCTCGCTGACTTGGTTGACACATGCTCAAGCTGTTGATCACTGGATTGTCTGGTCCCGACTCGATTATTTACAGACCGCGTCATATAGCTGGAATATTGCTGGTTGCAGCTTTAAACAACCCAAAATTAAATAAAGAAACAAAACTATTAATACCCTTTACACATCTAACCATAGTGAGTGAGTGAGTTAGTTATAGCAATATTCCAGCAATATCACGGCGGGGGACACCTGAAATGGGCTTCACACAATGTACCCATGTGTGGAATCGAACCCGGGCATTCAGCGTGACGAGCGAACGCTTTAACCACTGGGCTACCCCACCGTCCCCGGTTTAACCATAGGGAAAATACCCATGGCTGTAAAACCAGTTAGATCTTTTAGGAACCAATTTAAGAGTGTTGACCTTCCTTGTCATCCATGACAGCGGCACCCGTGAAGGTACCGGTTAGAATGAACCTTCACTAACCCATGCTTGTCGTAAGAGGCGACTAACGGGATCGGGTGGTCAGGCTCGATGGCTTGGTTGACACATGTCACCGGTTCCAATTGCGCAGATCGATGCTCATGCTGTTGGTCGCTAGATATATTTACGATTATTTACTGACCGCCCCCATATAGCTGGAATATTGCTGAGTGCGGCGTAAAACTAAACTCACTCACTCACTTCATGACAACGGGAACCATCATATATACACATATATGATCCCGATGATGGATGAGATGTTATTCTAATGTACCTTTCTGAAAAAGGAAGTACTCACGCATTCCATTGGACTCCATTCTGGACGCTGTATTGACCGTATCTCCGAACAGGCAGTACCTTGGCATCGTCTGTCCTACAACCCCCGCCACCACAGGTCCGGTGTGAATACCTACAGAAACACACAACCTGAACAGTACCTTGGCATCGTCTGTCCTACAAACCCCGCCACCACAGGTCCGGTGTGAATACCTACAGAAACACACAACCTGAACAGTACCTTGGCATCGTCTGTCCTACAAACCCCGCCACCACAGACCCGGTGTGAATACCTACAGAAACACACAACCTGAACAGTACCTTGGCATCGTCTGTCCTACAAACCCCGCCACTATCGGTCCGGTGTGAATACCTACAGAAACACACAACCTGAACAGTACCTTGGCATCGTCTGTCCTACAAACCCCGCCACTATCGGTCCGGTGTGAATACCTACAGAAACACACAACCTGAACAGTACCTTGGCATCGTCTGTCCTACAAACCCCGCCACTATCGGTCCGGTGTGAATACCTACAGGAACACACAACCTGAACAGTACCTTGGCATCGTCTGCCCTACAAACCCCGCCACCACAGGTCTGGTGTGAATACCTACAGAAATACACAACCTGAACAGTACCTTGGCATCGTCTGTCCTACAAACCCCGCCACTATCGGTCCGGTGTGAATACCTACAGAAACACACAACCTGAACAGTACCTTGGCATCGTCTGTCCTACAAACCCCGCCACTATCGGTCCGGTGTGAATACCTACAGAAACACACAACCTGAACAGTACCTTGGCACCGTCTCTCCTACAACCCCCGCCACCACAGGTCCGGTGTGAATACCTACAGAAACACACAACCTGAACAGTACCTTGGCATCGTCTGTCCTACAACCCCCGCCACCACAGGTCCGGTGTGAATACCTACAGAAACACACAACCTGAACAGTACCTTGGCATCGTCTGCCCTACAAACCCCGCCACCACAGGTCTGGTGTGAATACCTACAGAAATACACAACCTGAACAGTACCTTGGCATCGTCTGTCCTACATACCCCGCCACCACAGGTCTGGTGTGAATACCTACAGGAACACACAACCTGAACAGTACCTTGGCATCGTCTGCCCTACAAACCCCGCCACCACAGGTCCGCTGTGAATACCTACAGAAATACACAACCTGAACAGTACCTTGGCATCGTCTGTCCTACAACACCCGCCACTATCGGTCCGGTGTGAATACCTACAGAAACACACAACCTGAACAGTACCTTGGCATCGTCTGTCCTACAAACCCCGCCACCACAGGCCCGGTGTGAATACCTACAGAAACACACAACCTGAACAGTACCTTGGCATCGTCTGTCCTACAACACCCGCCACTATCGGTCCGGTGTGAATACCTACAGAAATACACAACCTGAACAGTACCTTGGCATCGTCTGTCCTACAAACCCAGCCACTATCGGTCCGGTGTGAATACCTACAGAAATACACAACCTGAACAGTACCTTGGCATCGTCTGTCCTACAAACCCAGCCACTATCGGCCCGGTGTGAATACCTACAGAAATACACAACCTGAACAGTACCTTGGCATCGTCTGTCCTACAACCCCCGCCACTATCGGTCCGGTGTGAATACCTACAGAAATACACAACCTGAACAGTACCTTGGCATCGTCTGTCCTACAAACCCCGCCACTATCGGTCCGGTGTGAATACCTACAGAAACACACAACCTGAACAGTACCTTGGCATCGTCTGTCCTACAAACCCCGCCACCACAGACCCGGTGTGAATACCTACAGGAACACACAACCTGAACAGTACCTTGGCATCGTCTGTCCTTCAACCCCTGCCACCACAGGTTCGGTGTGAATACCTACAGAAACACACAACCTGAACAGTACCTTGGCATCGTCTGTCCTACAAACCCCGCCACCACAGGCCCGGTGTGAATACCTACAGAAACACACAACCTGAACAGTACCTTGGCATCGTCTGTCCTACAAAGCCCGCCACCACAGGCCCGGTGTGAATACCTACAGAAACACACAACCTGAACAGTACCTTGGCATCGTCTGTCCTACAAACCCCGCCACCACAGGCCCGGTGTGAATACCTACAGAAACACACAACCTGAACAGTACCTTGGCATCGTCTGTCCTACAACACCCGCCACTATCGGTCCGGTGTGAATACCTACAGAAATACACAACCTGAACAGTACCTTGGCATCGTCTGTCCTACAAACCCCGCCACTATCGGTCCGGTGTGAATACCTACAGAAATACACAACCTGAACAGTACCTTGGCATCGTCTGTCCTACAAACCCAGCCACTATCGGTCCGGTGTGAATACCTACAGAAATACACAACCTGAACAGTACCTTGGCATCGTCTGTCCTACAAACCCCGCCACTATCGGTCCGGTGTGAATACCTACAGAAATACACAACCTGAACAGTACCTTGGCATCGTCTGTCCTACAAACCCCGCCACTATCGGTCCGGTGTGAATACCTACAGAAACACACAACCTGAACAGTACCTTGGCATCGTCTGTCCTACAAACCCCGCCACTATCGGTCCGGTGTGAATACCTACAGAAATACACAACCTGAACAGTACCTTGGCATCGTCTGTCCTACAACCCCCGCCACTATCGGCCTGGTGTGAATACCTACAGAAATACACAACCTGAACAGTACCGAGGCATCGTTTGTCCCACAGCCCGACTGAACAGAACTTAAGTCACATAAAAGTAAGTTCAATGTTAGAGAAACAGGGATGGAAAAAACTTTAAAATTGATAGTGTACTCCGGTACAGTGTAAAGTCAATTGCCCCGATAAGTTTTCCACCATTCCGACCGTTTTCTTGCTGATTATTTAAATAAACAACATAATTAACATTGGAAAGTCAACTGGACACCGGTACAGTGTGATATATAAATTTGCTTGCCCAACAGAAAAAACCCACTGGACTCGGACGTCGGGCAATGGGTTATTTCCACCCCTGAGAAAGTCCAACCTGATGCAGCACATAGTGTTGGGAATCGGAAACGAAATCCACTATCGATTATCGGAGGATTGTGGTGAACGATTATCGATTATAATCGAAATATATACATTTTTAATGAAATCACCAAGTTGAAGGGTTTTTCCCCAGTTTTTCTGATAAATGTTCCTTATAAGTAATACTGTCATGCAATGAAATGCATGCATGCAAGAAAGACACTGGAATTGTAATTAAACAATAAAAGTAGTTAAAATTTTACAATGTGCATAGCTTTACGCTGTCGAGTGCATGTTTGTTTGTGAATATTCGTCAAATTTAATCGCTAGTTTACTTCATTCAAGTGTGTTAAACGAATTTCCAATTAATCGAAAATATGTTTTTTTTTACAATCGATATTCATTTTTAATCCTTCTTTCGATCGATTTTTTGATCATCGGAACACCACTAGCCGCACATTAATCTTAAACACAGGGGCGTGTCACGCTTAGAAACAGCGTTAGAAAAGACATATAGGTATATAGACCCTAATCTAGTACTATATAAAAGGACCTTCTAAGCGTGACACGCCCCTGTGATCTTAAACGTTTCCAGCGCACCATGGAGCTCACATTCCATACACATTCTTGATAATTGAGTGTTTACCTATTCTGATCTTGAGTTGCCTCTCAGGTCTGTGGGGAATGACGTAGCTGAGGACCGCCTTCAGCAGACTGAGAGATGCATCGGCCATCTCCATGACGTGCTGGTCTCCATTTTGTATCGGCACTCCGCTCGCCATCATGTAGGCATCGCCTATTGTCTCAACCTAGAGACAAATTATAACTGTACTGAATAGGAGCAGTCATTACCATTGTCTCATCAGTAACACCATGGTTTATCAGATAGGGGTGGGTATTGCAGGGAATTTTCATATTGCGATATATCGCGATGCGAAAGCATATATTGCGATGTGTACTGCAATATGTATATATTGCTAGAGGTTTTTTAAAACAAAAAACAAAATCCTTATAATGGAGTTAATGCTTAATATCCGAAGATTGCTGAGTGTTAAGAAGTTTTCCGAATGCATTTGAAATACCGGTTTCGATCAGCATATCGCAATACGTATCGATTTCATGTCTGTACCGGTAAATACCGGTAAACCGGTTATATTGCGCAGCCCTAATATCAGACGACTCTGCGTTCAGATTTGTTACAACTTTATCATTGCTACATCAACCGACGGTGGTGGGTATGACCATACACTTAGCCTCTTGCAGGCAAGGTTAGAGATGCTCACCTGCACTTTATTCTGTCTCCGTTACTCTCTTTACACACAGGAAACTTACTCATTACATATAAAATACATGTTGAGAGTAGCCGTAGAATTTTCTAAACTCTTTATTTCTTCACTGATTTCGTTCAAATTTGAAATATATGTTAATCATAACATATAAAAACAATATATGATTGTAAAAGTCTAGATTTGTAAAAAATTATTGTCAAAACAGTGATTCGAACCCCTGTGTGTTCAACCCACCCTACCTGAAACAAAATGTAAATCAACTTTCCTTGTTGTGGAGACTACCTACCTTGTAAACATCGAAATTCTTGATGGTGTCATCAAACAGCGTGTATAGTGTATTCAGCAGGTCCACGATCTGGACAAACAGAGAATCGTAACATTACTGTAGCACAGAGTGAGAAGGTTGTTGGTCATCGGAGCTACTACTCCATTTTAAAATTGGCGGCCATTTTGAAATGCCACAAAGTAGAATTTGCAGAACTTTGTATCTTGTACATGGCAATGATGTTCTGAGCTTTCCTGAAAAATTCAGCTTTCTACTATTTTTTTCCAATGTTACCTATTGTTTGTGTATAATGCTCCTGGCCTATTGTACAAAACATGCATCTGACCAAACTTCCACAAGGGCGAGAGGTGGGGTGGCCTAGTGGTTAAAACGTTCGCTTATCACGCTGAAGACCCGGATTCGATTCCTCACATTGCAAAATGTGAAGCCCATTTCTGGTGTCCCCAGCCGTCATATATTGCTGGAATATTGTTAAATACGACGTAAAACTAAACTCACTCAGTCCCCATGGGCACAATTACATCTCAGATTCGTAAAAAGGAAATAATACTAGGATTTGTTGACCTTTTTGTCTTAAAATTCGATTAGATTGAGAAAGGGAGGTTTTAGCGAGTGACATTGTTTAGTAATGGGACTTATAATATCAAGGTATGTTCTATCCATGGATAAGCAGAAGCAACTGACCTCCATAGGCGTGCTCTCGCTGGCGAGGTCGGTGAAGCTGACGACGTCGGAGAAGTAGATGGTGACAGACTCGAACGCCTCGGCTTGAACCAAATTCCCGGTTTTGAGGTTGTCTGCCACTTTCCTGAAAGTCACAGTCATAATACTGAATAATTTTAGTGAGTGAGTAAATGAGTAGGGTTTTACACCGCTTTTAGAAATATTCCAGCTTTATCACGGCGGGGGACACTTAGACTAAGGCTTAGTCTCTGAATATATATAAGTTTGGTAGTAACAAACAAGCCCATTTAAATTGAAAAGGAGCCCCAGGGAGACCAGAGATTGAGGAAACCTGAATGTGGCATAACTGGCCCATATTCCCAGAGATTCGCTCGTCACGCCGAAGACTGACCCGACTAGGCTTGATTCCCCACATGGGTACAATGTGTGAAGCTCATTTCTGGTGTCCCCCCTCGTGATATTGCTGGAATATTGCTAAAATCGGCGTGAAACTAAACCCACTCACTCACCATGTTGAAAAGGAGGTGGTAGTATCCATCTGCAGCATGTGTTTTTTGTGGACAAAATGGCGACGATTTTCGTGAGTATCCTGCGTATGACTATTATGGACAAAATAGCGACAATTTTCGTGAGTATCTTGCGTATGACTATTGTGGACAAAATGGCGACAATTTTCGTGAGTATCCTGCGTATGACTATTGTGGACAAAATGGCGACAATTTTCGTGAGTATCCTGCGTATGGCTATTGTGGACAAAATGGCGACAATTTTCGTGAGTATCTTGCGTATGACTATTGTGGATAAAATGGCGTCAATTTTCGTGAGTATCCTGCGTATGGCTATTGTGGACAAAATGGCTACGTACTGTGGCAGCATGCTGTACAGCAGGGCGTCCGTCTTCCTCTTCTCCTCCTCCAGCTGGGCCGTTCTGTCTGCCACCAGTTCCTCTAGGTGGTTCGAGTAGCGCTCCATCATCATCAACATGTTATCCAGCATACTGGTTGACCTGCCGACCAAATCAAATTTGAACCACAACTATGAGTCACCCATACTAGTAGCCAGTACCCTACTGACTCAACAATGTCTCATACTAGACTGCAAGGAAAAGCCCCTTTCAAAATGACATTTCATAGCTTCCAGTTCCCACCTGGTACCCAGTTAGATAATCAGTACGTTACATAGTTTCACATGTAAATGTTGAGTCATTTCAGAACTGATAATCCTGACAATCCATTTCCCACCTGGTACCCACCTGGCCTCACCTGTTGAGGTGGTTGAGTCTCAGCTTCCATTTCCTACCTGGTACCCAGCTACACAACCATTAGGACACATGGCCTCAACTGTATGGGTTGAGATAGTTGAATCTCTTCAACACCCTTTTCATAGTAGCCTCGAAGCTGACATTCAGATTCCCACCTGGTACCCAGTTATAGAACCATTCCATCACAATGCCTCACCTGTAAGGGTTGAGACGGTTGAGTCTCTTCAACACCCTCCTGATGGTCGGCCTACACTGCGGGTCTTCTGCCCAGCATGAGTGTATCATCTTCACAAAGGGAAGTCTCAGTGACACATACTCGTCCTGCGTCTCCACCACGGTCGGTCTCATCAGCTGGTCAGTGGGGTGGGCCACCCGCTTGATGATATCTGACAAGAGTCATGCATGTGTAATCGTAGTTGAGGTTGATAAGGGCGAAAGCCTGTCTTATCCTGAATAATACGTGACAATGTGACTGTCTCATCATAATCCATTACATTTAACATGGATTATCATATCATAAGAGAATAGTCCGTATACAGTATAATAAAATGTAACAAGAATCCCCACACCCAAACAATATAATAAAAGTGACTTTGATCACAATATGACCTAACGTTGAGTGAGTGAGTGAGTTTAGTTTTACGCCGCACTCAGCAATATTCCAGCTATACGGCGGTGGTCTGTAATAGTTGAGTCTGGACCAGACAATCCAGTGATCAACAGCATGATCATCGATCTGTGCAATTGGAACCGATGATATGTGTCAATCAAGTCAGCGAGCCTGACCACCCGATCCCGATAGTCGCCTCTTACGACAAGCATGGGTTACTGAAGATCAATTCTAAACCGGATCTTCTCCGGTGGTCTAATGTTGAACTAGTGATTAGCAAGGTAGTGAGACCATAGTTAGGTTGACGTGGCTCTTCGTGTGATCAAAGTAAAGTTGAAGTGGTTGTATAACATTAGGAGACCATAGTTAGGTTGAAGTGGCTATCCGAGTGACAGTTGTCATACAGCATTTCAACCTAACTATCAATGCCCCAATTCTTACTAACCCTTCAACCTAATTATGGAAATGCAGAACTGGTTATCTAGAATTTGGGCGAGCACACCAATTTGAGGCTGTGGTAAGCTTTGGATGACTTAGTCAAACCAAACGAAAATCTGTGACCTCAGCAAGGATGAACATGAGGCCATAAATGAAATATGAATACGAGTTACCTTTGGGTGTCAACCTAACCTCCTCAGCATACGGCTTTGTGAGACATAGAATCTCTTTGAGGATGATGCCCACGGCGAAGACGTCCCCCTGCTGCGTGGGCGTAAATCTTTTTTCTGATTGGTAAGTTCTCAGCAGTTCCGGTGCAAGCCAAAATAACTCTGTGGATGAGTGAGTGAGTGAGCTTATTTTTATACTGCTTTTAGCAATATTCCAGCAATATTATGCCGGGAACACTGGAAGTTGACTTCACACATTGTACCCATGTGGGGAATAGAACCAGGTCTTCGGCGTGACAAGCGAACGCTTTAACCACTAGACTACCCCACTGCCCATTCTGTGGATGAAAGGTGTGTCCAAACTAAAGTTTTGAAAACAAACGTGTCTCGATACTGATGATACTTTCCTGATGAAAGGGGTTTGTTTGCTGTTTAACGCCGTACACAACAATATTCCAGCTATATGTCGGTCTGTAAATAGTCGAGTCTGGACCTGATAATCCAGTGACCGACAGCATGAGCATCGAGCATCGTTGGGATACGATGACATGTGTCAACCAAGTGTGACAAGATCGGTGCTTCACAGATATCTATGTTGCTTCAAATATACTCATTACTTCATAGATATCGGTATTCCTCCACACATATCGGTTTTGCCTCAAAGACACACGTATTACATCACAGACCTGTGTTGCTTAAAGGATGCCCATGGTGCTTCACAGACATCCTGTTTGCTCACAATTACCCGCTTTCTTCGACAGATACTCTTATTGTGTCGGGGCGGTGGGGTAGCCTAATGGTTAAAGCGTTCGCTCGTCACGCTGAAGACCAAGGTTCGATTCCCCACATGGGCACAATGTGTGACGCTCATTTCTGGTGTTCCCCGCCCTGATATTTCTGTAATTGCTACAAGCGGTGTAAAAATATACTTATAAAAATAGTCTTATTGTTTCACCTACTTTCACACCTGTCGTCTTCGGACACCTGGTTGGATGTATCCTTCTCTCCCTTTCTGATTGGTCGCAGGCCGAAGTCCGTCAGTTTACAAACCCATCGGCTGTCAATCAGGCAGTTTGATGACGTCAGGTTACCATGGTATTTCAGGGAGCTCATGTGGAGGTACTCAAGTCCCTGTGTTGAAAAGAATTTACCGTTTGTTCGTTTATATACTCATGCCAATAATGGTTGTCACCCCCTTCAATTTTTTAATTGGAGAGGGGTTGGCATGAGTATATGTTTGACGCCACACTAAATATTTTAAGGTGGCCTATAAATAATCCTGTCTTGAACAGACAAGCCAGTGATTGATATAATGAGCAACGAAGCCATTGGGGTATGGTGACATGTAATCAGCCAGTTCACCAAGTCTGACCACAGTCATCTCGAGGGGAATATAAGAGTGGTCTTCACATAGTATACATTACGTTTGGATGCTTCGTTGTTATTACGACCCGCACTCAAAATACGTCCAACTATATGGCGGCGGTGTAAATAATCGAGTCTGGACCAGACAATCCAGTGATCAACAGCATGAGCATCGATCTACGCAATTGGGATACGATGACATGTGTGAACCAAGTCAGCAAGCCTGACCACCCGATCCCGTTAGTCGCCTCTTGTGAACGACAAGCATGGGTTGTGCTTCCTGGGATACGATGACATTACGAATCAAATCTCATTAATCCATTGCGCAAGAACCACCCCTGAAGGTCATATCAACATTAGTGCGCGAAATAGTTTCCAAATTTTGTTAGCCAGTCGGGCCAGCTATACCTGAAGGTTACTAGCCCGCAAAATAAATCAATAACCCGAAATTTGAATGTAGAAACTAAGCAAAAGACTACAAAAATATAGGAGAATAAGATATTGTTGACATGACACGGGTTTCATCGTTGAGCTGCTAATATGATGAATATTTTTATCAGGCCATAATCTTGCTTGATACAAAAGTGTATTATAACTTAAAAGTTAGAGATTGTGATATCTGTGCAAACTGACCCCTAGCCAGTCGGGCCAGTGACTGTGGAGACTTACTGGCCCGACTGGATTTTTACCAGCCACGGGCTAGCGGGCCAGTGCCTATTTCGCACCAGATCAACACTAAATTTCTAAAGTCTAAATGCGACAACAAAACATTTATGCTGAGTTAATATATACTGGGCAAAAACAGTTAGGGATATATGTAAATTTTGAAGTTATGAATAATGATCTATTTATTCATTGACACACTGACAAAAAATCAATCATAAAAATACCAATATCCCTAACTTATTTTGTCCAGCATAGAATATAAGATGGATGCGGCATTGAGATCACTTAATGAAATGAGGGTACATACACTTAGCAGCAAATACACCACAGCCTTACCGAGCAGATGTCGATGGCGATGGAGAACTGGAACATGCTGTCTAGCTTCATGTCGGAGTTGTCCAGGATGTCCTGAAGGAAGACACCACAGTGACGTGACGTGACGTGACGTGACGTGACGTGAAATTGGTTTTTACGTCGTGCTTGAGAATATTTCGCTCATATGACGACGTGCATGCATGAGTATGTGTATGTGCGGCTGCTTGTACTAGCCCAGACTTAAGCTGGTTTTATAGTGCTAGCCCACTGAGTTACCATGCTGCAGTGAAGCATGAATACCCCACTCAGACACATTATACTGACTCCGAGCCGACCAGTCCTTGTTGTACCCATTAATGCCGAGCGCCAGGCAGGGACCAACAAGTACCATATTTTAACGTATTTTTGGTATGACGCGGTCGGGGATCGAACCCGCGACCTTCCGCTCTCCGGGCGGACGCTCTAACCACTACACCACGGAGGCGGTCGACTCCACAGTAAAGGTATGTCCAAAATAATCAACAGCCTACATTCTCCATTACTGCAATATGAATATCACCCATTCGCCGCCATTGCTTGGTTTTGAAAGTGACGTCACAACTTTCATATTTGTCATCATTTGCGCTGTGAGGTAGTCCAGTGGTTAAAGTGTTCGCTCGTCACGTAAAACACCTGGTTCGATTCCCCACACGGGTAAAATGTTTGAAGCCCATTTCTGGTGTCCTACGCCGTGATATTGAGTGAATATTACTAGTGGCGGCATAAAACCATATTCACTCACTAATTGTATCTTAGCCAAGAAAGTCTTTCGCAGTTTTATTGGACAGCCAGTTTTGTTGTTTTTACAACAAAAATATGGTTGCGAGTTCGTCCAGGGTATTTGTCAGATACCCTTACTGCAACCACGGGGCATCCTCAATAATCTCAAGGGTATACGTTCTGATAAATCTCCCCTAGTAGTGACCACAGGTTAAGGCTATCAAATTTGAATATTCTGCGCAAATACTTGTACAAGAGTTTTGACTTGATGGTAAATCTGTTTAGTGTTCATGGTATGGATACCAGTAGTTGGTTTGATAATGGAGGATAAACTCTCAGAGTGACACATGTCATGCAATATGCTATAGACGCTACTACACGGCGTATTGTTTTGCAATTATAATCAATTATTCCTGACAAGGGGCGGTGGGGTAGCCTAGTGGTTAAAGCGTTCGCTCGTCATGCCGAAGGCCCGGGTTCGATTCCCCACATGGGTACAATTTGTGAAGCCAATTCTGGTGTCCCCCGCCGTGATATTGCTGGAATATTGCTAAAAACGGCGTAAAACCATACTCAGTCAGTCAGTATTCCTGACAAGTATATTTCGATGTTAAGAATCTTGAAGAACACTTGCGGATAAAACTGACGTGTAGTTTGAAAAGGAAAGGTTTGACTCATGAAAGAAAAGTTTGTTTGGCTTGGTTGTTGTTTAACGCCGCTTTCAGAAATGTTCCAGCTATATTGCAGCGGTCTCTAAATAATCAAGTCTGGACCAGACAATCCAATGATCAACAGCATGGGCATCGATTTACGCAATTGGGATACGATGACATGTGTCAGCCAAGTCAGCGAGTCTGACCACCCACGTGTGCGTGTGTGTGTGTCAGACGCTCCATCCTCACAAAACCAGACCACCTACACTGAGGCTTCCCTTGTTGCAGTACTCCCACAGGATGACGATGTTAGGGGACTCGATGCAGATGCCGACAAACGTTGTCAGGTTGCTGTGCTTCAGCATCATTATCTGAAAGAACACATGACATCTTCAGATGGCATTTGTACACACCGTCTGGAAATATATTATGATTAATTCTTTATCAGTATCAGACTGCTCCGGGTTATGATCCTGGGCTCAGTTACACTACTTAATGGTATTCACGAAAGTGTAAATATCTGGCAATAGTGTCAGCCTTGTGTCTGCGATCACGTTGGGTCTGTTAGCACGATACAATGGTTATCACCAAAGTGGTTCACGTCTTAGACTCGCGTCACGTTGGGTCTGTTAGCACGATACAATGGTTATCACCAAAGTGGTTCACGTCTTGGACTCGCGTCACGTTGGGTCTGTTAGCACGATGTAATGGTTATCACCAAAGTGGTTCACGTCTTGGACTCGCGTCACGTTGGGTCTGTTAGCACGATACAATGGTTATCACCAAAGTGGTTCACGTCTTGGACTCGCGTCACGTTGGGTCTGTTAGCACGATACAATGGTTATCGCCAAAGTGGTTCACGTCTTAGACTCGCGTCACGTTGGGTCTGTTAGCACGATACAATGGTTATCACCAAAGTGGTTCACGTCTTGGACTCGCGTCACGTTGGGTCTGTTAGCACGATACAATGGTTATCACCAAAGTGATTCATCACTCGCGTCACACTGTTAACGTGGTTTCACGTCATTGGACTCGCGTCACGTTGGGTCTGTTAGCACGATACAATGGTTATCACCAAAGTGATTCATGTCATGGACTCGCGTCACGTTGGGTCTGTTAGCACGATACATTGGTTATCACCAAAGTGGTTCACGTCTTGGACTCGCGTCACGTTGGGTCCGTTAGCACGATACAATGGTTATCGCCAAAGTGGTTCACGCCTTGGACTCGTGTCACGTTGGGTCCGTTAGCACGATACAATGGTTATCGCCAAAGTGGTTCACGTCTTAGACTCGCGTCACGTTGGGTCTGTTAGCACGATACAATGGTTATCACCAAAGTGGTTCACGTCTAGGACTAGCGTCACATTTACAAAACACCATTACATTTTGAACTCAAATAGTTGTGGCAGCGATATTGAAAATTCAGGCTACACCATTTACGAGAACATGTACATGTGTGTGAAGGTCAAGCTCCATTGGTTCAATGGTATTTCAGGAGAAGATGTTTATGGCAGATAACTTTAACTGAATTTTGTCACGTGAGATAAATATATGTATTTTTTAATTTGTGGAAAATGTTGAACTTCTCTCTACCTCTTTGATATGCTTCATTAACTTCCTGTCGGTTTGAATACGCTGTTTCCAGATTTTCTTCACTGCGACAATGTTCTCTTTATATTTGGCGATGGTTGTATACTGATGGAAGGCGACACTGCCATCAAGCCCTGACTCCACGGATGGATGTTCCGAGCTGGCCATTCCGACGGCGTCTGAACCATCACTGTGGACGCTGTCTCTGTCAACGTGGTTGTCTCCGTGCTTGCTGCCAAGCTGGAAGCAAGGTTCAATAGTTCTGTATTACATATTGGGGTGTAGTCCTGGCATCATGTTTGGGTGGAGTTGTAGAATGATTAAAGGCCAACTCGTACTGAAGAGCCAGTATCAACAGCCAGCGTGGGTACAACAGGCTAAAATTACACTATACGAAGTTACAGAGAGAAGAAAAAAAACAACCGCTGCTATTACCGCTGCTGCCGATACTACAGTAACAATAACTGCTACTACTACTACTACTACTACTACTACTACTACTACTACTACTACTACTACTACTACTACTGTTGCTGCTGTTTCTACTACTACTGCTACCACTACCATTACTATTGACAATACTACTATTACTACTACTATTACTACTACTACTACCACTACCACTACTACTACTACTACTACTACTACTACTACTACTACTACTACTACTACTACTACTACTACTACCACTACTACTACTACTACCACTACTACTATTACTATTACTAGTAGTAGTAGTAGTAGTGACAATACTGGTACAACTACTACCACTAGTGACAATACTACTACTACGACTACTACTACTACTACTACCATTACTGTTGACAATACTGCTACTACTACAATTACTACTACTACTACTGCTACTACTATCAGGAAAATCATTAGTACCTGCTCATAACATCATATTATCTACTCTGAATTAAGACCAAGCATTAATAAAGTCATATACTAACCCTGGTTCCCGCTAAAAGACGCCCTTAGTACGGCGACTATCACAGAGCTCCGTTAAACTATAACCATAGTACCGAGACCGTTTTATAGAACGGGTCCCATGTCAGTGAATCACAGGCTAATGCCTAGTCTCAGAAAATACATAATTTCGATAGAAACAAACAACAAACTTTGAATTAAAAGGGGCCCAGGGGAGATTAGAGATTCCGATTTTCTAGAAGCGCTTCATTTGATGTTACTGAAACGACTGGGCAAAAGGAATAAATATAAATTTAGTTCAGGGAACGCGAAACAGACTAAACGAATCGATATGTATTCATATGTAGGCAGCGAAAAGCGAATGCAAGGTGAACGGGGTCATCTGTGGATATTATATGAAGTGGACTATATATAATTCAGAACTGAATTTAGTCGCTTGCAATTCCCTATTTTTTCTAAAATGAGATTAATCTTATTTCAGATAAATGAAGAAGATTCCACACCGTTGCCTTCCGTTTGTGTCTCCTGAAGTTGAAGTCGAGATCGAGGAAGTGGACCTTCCACTTCATATTGTTTAAATCTCGCTCGTTTCGCCACCACCTGGGAAGAAACACATTCCTTTATAAAACACATTCCTTTATCATGTGGGGCGGTGGGGTGGCCTAGTGGTTAAAGCGTTGGCTCGTCACGCCGAAGACCCGGGTTCGAATCCCCACATGGGTACAATGTGTGAAGCCAGTTTCTGGTGTCCCCCGCCGTGATGTTGCTGGAATATTGCTAAAAGCGGCGTAAAACCAAACTCAGTCAGTCCTTTATCATGTCCATCAGTCCATCAGTCCATCAGGTGTCATGGATCATCCATGGAAATCCGTCGCCGAGAAACCAGGAAACCAAGCCATGGATGACATAAAACATACTTCTACATTTTTGGTTATCAAGCAGTTGACATACATGAGGTCCATTCGTATAATCTATTGACTATAGAAAAAAGAAAAATACCATCCCCCAACAAACAAAAAACAACAAAAACAAACAAAACAAAAAACAAACCCAAACCAGAACTAAACAAACAAACAAACAACACAAAAACCCAAAATAATACCCTCCCCTATAAAAACAACAAAAAACAAACATAACAAGACACACACACACAACAAAACAACAAGAACCCCCCAAAAAACCCAACATCCCCCAAAAAACAAAAACAAACAAAACAAAATAAATTTAATACAACAAAATAAAAACGAAACAAAACATAAGTTACAAGAAAGTGAAACTACAACAAACAAAATCCAACAACAAGACCTAAACAACCCCCAAAAAGCAATGAAATAAGTATTTTTGAGCTCACTTACCATTCAAACACCTACACGTCTAGCTAGTCATATTGTTTCGGGTTTAATGAAAACACATACTTTCACAACAGATGGCACACCAGAAAGTCTAGCTAATGGTTCAAGCTCCATTCAAGGAAATGTCTTTGTACTTCCAGTTTAGGTCATGTCGGTAGAGAGATAAGAAAAGAAACGTTCTCATTGCCTTAATTTTTTAACGCAGAGAGTCACATAAGTATAGCTCAGTTTATAACATCCTTGTTCGAGTCTGGACGAGACAGTCAAGTGATTATCATCATTCTCATTGATCTCCACAGTTGGGATACGATGACATTTAGCAACACAACCATGGGCTGTTGGAAGCCATTTCCTGCCAAAATTTAATTGTTGCGGATCTTGTGACATGAGTATATGACGTAACTTACCTGTAGAAGATGAGGGCCCCGACGGCAAAAGCCAACATGGTGCTGATTAGGACTGACACCAAGACGACCGAGAGCTGTGTATCTTGAACAACAAAGTGATGCTGCGTCAGTAGGGAAATATAATCCAAACCATCTTTTTTTTCTAAAAAAAGTGAATGAGTATGTTTTAAAGCCAATTTTGTAAAAATCCCAGCAATATCACGACGGGGGCTCCAAAAATGGGCTTCACACATTGTACCCATGTGGAGAATCGAACCCGGGTCCTTGGCGTGACGAGCGGGCGCTTTAACCACTAGGCTATCCACCGACCTTGTTAATTTCGACATATAACGAGCTGAAACAAAAATTACACGATACTAGAATATATTTGTCCTGGTAAACTACAAGTTCCAAATATCAACTTTTTTACGTTATATTTTTGTCTATTTCCTTACTTACTTGCAGCTGACGGGGAGAAACTATGTGTACAGCTGATTGCTATTTTAGGCTTTGTTTATGAGACAAACACACATGACAAGCAATCTTAGTCTCTGCATTAATCAATGTCAAGCAGTACAGAGAATCCTAAAGTTGTACATATGGTACCGACATACCTCAAAACATACTCACACTAAACCAGGAGTCGAATCCGCGTTAATGTACCTTGTTGAGTGGCATTTAAGAAGTTTGGGACGTTCAATATTGAACAAACTCTATAGATAACAACTTCTTTATTTCGTGAGTGCGATTTTTCGATAAATATTGTTGTTCCGTTGTTTCGTTGTTCCGTTGTTATGTTGTTTTCTTTGTTACATGCTACCCGTGAAGGTGCGGGTTAGAATATTGGTTTTCAGCAACCCATGCTTGTCGTAAGAGGCCACTAACGGGATCGGGTGACTGGGTTGACACATGTCATCGGTTCCCAATTGCGCAGATCGATGCTCATGCTGTTGATGACTGGATTGTCTGGTCCAGACTCGATTATTTACAGACTGCCGCCATATAGCTGGAATATGCTGAGCGCGGCGTAAAACTAAACTCACTTACTCACTCTTTGTTTCATTCAGTATATATATATACATCTCCTGCTCTTCATGTATCATTCCTGCTTGACAACGGTACACGAATCTGTATCGAAACGTCGCACTCACGAAATAAAGAAGTTGTTATCCATAAAGTATGGAATCCTGGAAGGGACATTGTCCCGTTGTCGCATTGTCGCCCTCTCAAATAGAAGCAAAATGAGGCAAAATTAACCACAACGTGACACGCGACAAAAAATGTCGCATTGTCGCGTGTCGCGTTTTAGTCAATTTTTAGGCTTCTTTTTACACATCTTAGATAGGGCGACAATGCGACAACGCGACATATTTTGACCTTGAAAATTGTCGCTATGTCGCGTGTCGCCCTTTGGAGGAATAGAAAAATATTATTCAGAACGCGACACGCGACATCGCGACAATGCGACAAATGGGCGAAATGTCGCGTGTCGCGTGTCGCGTTTTGGTTTATTTTGCCTCATTTTACTTGTTTTTGAGAGGGCGACAATGCGACAACGCGACAATGTCCCTTCTCGGATTCCATAATAAAGTTTGTTCAATATTGATGTTCATGTACCTGATCAGCTGTTTTATAACGTACTATCTCTTTAGCAGCAGGACGACATTACTGATGCATGGCATGAATATGGTGCCGACAAATCAGGCTAAACCGGGATTCGAACCCGCGTTAATATACCTGGTGTTAGAGTACTAACTCTTTAGCAGCAGTAACCGGGCATCCGAGAACGACATTACTGATGCATGGCATGTCCATACATGTAATTGAAGAGAACTGGAATGAAACCTAAAACTCCGATTCGAAATGCAGCTTGTCGACATACGGGTCAAACACAAATTACTCTTCCAATAAATACCGCCGTTTAATTTCCCCCGAGTATCGTAAGACTGAAGTCGGCGATTACGATAATGCATGCTATTTGCAACCATCATGCACGGGGCATGCATTGCAAGAACGTGATGTGTATTTGAGGCAATGTAATCAAGAACATGCTACGTGAGATCCATTTTGTAGATTTCAAGCTCTCACGGACAATCGTTCCCTCCAGCTCGTATTACTTAAGGATATATCGCACTGGGTCTGCAGTGAGATAGTGTGCCAATTGGATAAAGGCATGACAATTATTAACTCACCTTACAGGTAAAAACTCATGTGCTTCACGAACAGGGTAGACAATGTTTTCATTTTATGTCGCCATTTTGTATTTCCACGTGTATGACGGGTAACTAGCTGTATCGATTCTCCATGGCATCAGGGGACGCCATACCTGGATCGTAGGTCACGTGACACGGAGACCGCGCTGAGTGATCAATTATGAATGAAGGCGTTGTGAAATCGACGAAAGGCGTGAGTTATTGATATCGCGTTGCAATAATATTTCACTGCCAATAGCTGAAGCTGCCCGTTAGTCAAGATGATGATCAGCAGTGCGTGAATAGAACCACCTGTCCACACCTGAATGTATTTTTTTCTAATAAAACACCAGTCTACACCTGAATGTATTTTATTTCATAACCACCAGTCTACACCTGAATGTATTTTATCTCCACATCTGAATGTATTTTATCTAAAAACTACTTGAATGTGTTTATCTAAAACTACCGAAATCCACATCTGAATGTATTTATCTCACATAAAAACTACCAATCCACACCTGAATGTATTTTATCTCATAAAACCACCAGTCCACACCTGAATGTATTTTATCTAATAAAACTACATACCTGAATGTATTTTATCTAATAAAACTACCCATCCACAATTGAATGTATTTTATCTAATAACACTACCCATCCACATCTGAATGTATTTTATCTCAAAAAACCGATCCACATCTGAATGTATTTTATCTCACAAAACCACCAGTCCACACCTAAATGTATTTTATCTAATAACACTACCAATCCGGGTCTGAATGTATTTTATCTAAAAAAAACTACCCATCCACACTTGAATGTATTTTATCTAATAACACTACCAATCCACATCTGAATGTATTTTATCTAAAAAAACTACCCATCCACATCTGAATGTATTTTATCTAATAAAACTACCCATCCACACTTGAATGTATTTTATCTAATAACACTACCAATCCACATCTGAATGTATTTTATCTCACAAAACCACCAGTCCACACCTGAATGTATTTTATCTAATAAAACTACCCATACACACCTGAATGTATTTTATCTAATAAAACTACCCATACACACCTGCATGTATTTTATCTAATAAAACTACCCATACACACCTGAATGTATTTTTATCTAATAACATAAAACTACCCATACCCACACCTGAATGTATTTTATCTAATAAAAACTACCCATCCACACCTGAATGTATTTTATCTAATAAAACTACCCATACACACCTGAATGTATTTTATCTAATAAAACTACCCATACACACCTGAATGTATTTTATCTCATAAAACTACCCATACACACCTGAATGTATTTTATCTCATAAAACTACCCATACACACCTGAATGTATTTTATCTCATAAAACTACCCATACACACCTGAATGTATTTTATCTCATAAAACTACCAATCCACACCTGAATGTATTTTATCTCATAAAACTACCCATACACACCTGAATGTATTTTATCTCATAAAACTACCAATCCACACCTGAATGTATTTTATCTACTAAAACTACCAACTCCATACCACGGGACCCGTGAAGATCCGGGTTAGAATTGATCTTCAGTAACCCATGCTTGTCGTAAGAGGCGACTATCGGGATAGGGTGGTCAGACTCGCTGACTTGGTTGACACATGCCATCGTATCCCAATTGCGTAGATCGATGCTCATGCTTTTGATCAGTGGATTGTCTGGTCCAGACTCCATTATTTACAGCCCGCCGCCATATAGCTGGAATATTGCCGAGTGCGGCGTAAAACTAAACTCACTCACCACCTACCTGGTGGGCAGAATTCGTTGAAGAAGCCACAGGGCGGCGAGTCGGGAGGTGTATATGATTTACTGCTGCGTCCGTCACCCCACAGAATGGGAGCATGGTCCTCAAGTGTCTGAAACATAACGGCAAGTATATATTTATCCCAGAAATAATTGTTTATTCATTCATTGAATCATGTAGTACCATATATTTATAAAGTACTACAAATATTGATAAGCAAAATGTTCTTTCAATATTTTCCTAATGATAAGTCTTGAGTGAGTTTAGTTTTACGCCGCTTTTAGCAATATTCCAGCAATATCACGGCGGGGGACACCAGAAATAGACATTACACATTGTACCAATGTGGTGAATCGAACCCGGGTCTTCGGCGTGACGAGCGAACGCTTTAACCACTGGGCTACCCCACCGCCCAGTGAGTCTGGGACATTGCTGTAACACATAGCGTGTTAACACAAGATCGAAAAATACTTCTATATATATATACCGTGTCACCCACATGCCGGGTTGGCAACAGTTGGTGAAATACTGGCCACATATAGCACATACATACCGTGTTGATAATAATAAAGGTGTTTGTAATGCGCTGACTTCCGCACCAGGGAGGTGCACGCTCAAAGCGCTAACATACAATCTGATCACTATTACCCCGGATAACCCAAGCTGAATGTGAGACGCTAGAAGGTTTATAGTCTCATGACTTAGTTCACCGGGTACCCATTTTCTACTGAGTGAGCAGAGGCAATTTTGTACTCTCTTGCCTAAGGTAAGACCACATGTATCACATGTGCTTCGTTGTGACGGAAGTCCTAGAAACTCTTGGGAGTCAAGCTGTCACATGTGGTCACCCATCCAAGGACTCTCCGCACCCAATGTTGCTTAACCTCAAATGATATGTGACCTGAGGTCTATGCACACACAGGCAAATTGTAGCGCACTTAAGGTTGCGCAACAAAGAAAATGACCAGTCTTTCCATATGCGAGCGAAGCATATGGAAAAGACTGGTCATTTTCTCTTTGTTGCGCAACCCTAAGTGCGCTACAATTTGCCTGTGATGCACAAGACCACACACATACCGTGTTAACACCACTTGCCGACATCCGGTAGACGATTGTGATTGCCGAACGAAAGCGATCATTGGGTCCCATGTCCCATACAACAAAACTGGGCAGTCTGTCTCCATCGTTGTCGATGTAAACGTCGCCAGTCAACCCTGTAACCAACGGATATGGATAAAGGTAGCGACTACGTCTCTTGTCTAAGGGAGCGTAGATCAGCATTTGGCAGTAAGTTTGACAATGAGAACAATGAATTTCAAAATATCACAGAATCGGAAATAGTTGAATTAAATGTCAGTACGGTCTGTGACAATGAATAGTCTTCACCCAAAAATGGTATTTGTATACAGATATATGTCACTGGAAATAACTGGAGTTGGACAATGTTTGGTTTCTTGTTTAAACCGCACTCAGCAATATTTCAGTTATTTGGCAGCGTTCTGTAAATAATCGAGACTGGACCAGACAGTCCAGTGATCAACAGCATGAGCATCAATCTACGCAAATGGGATACGATGACATGTGCCAACCAAGCCAGCGAGCCTGACCACTCGATCCCGTTAGTCGTCTCTTACGACAAGCATGGTTGCTGAAGACCTGTTCTTACCCGGATCTTCACGGGTTGGGTCGTTCCTGAAACCCACCAACACAGGCACGGTGCTGACAAACTAAGAAGTTGAGCGTACATGGGATTCGAACCTAAGAGTTTTGGCTCCCCAAAGATTGCAACTGTCATCGCAATATCATCTACACCATTGTATTTTAAAGATTCTACCTTCGAACGTGATTCCAGGACGCGAGAGGGCGTTAAATATATCCGTGCCACTGGTGCTATTTTTGTTCGTTAAAGTCACGTTGAGTGCCCGGAAGTACAAAAGTACGGCATCGAAGAGAAAGGATGAATATCTGTCTCTCTGTGGATGAGGAATCGTTGCGAAATATTAAAAATATTTCATAATGTCTTGCTAATCAATACATAAGGAAACGATACGCCGTCAGATTAACGTAGTACTTGTTTCTTGTTAAACGCCATACTCAGCAATATTCCAGCTATATGACGGCGGTCTGTAAATGATCGAGTCTGGACCTGGCAATCCAGTGATTGACATCATGAGCACTGACTCACGAAATTTGGATACGATGCACGCATCAACAAAGTCAGCGGTACTGGCCAACGAATCTGGTTAGTCGCCTCTTACGACAAGCATGGGCTGCTGAACTCGGATCACCGATAACATACTGAAAGTATATTCTTTCTCTGAGGAGGTGAGGTGAGGTGAAATTGGGATTTAACGTCGTGCTTGAGAATATTTCGCTCATATGACGACGTGCATGCACTGTGTGTATGTGTAGGTGCGGCTGCTTGTACTAGCCCAGACTTAGCTGGTTTTATAGTGCTAACCCACTGAGATACCATGCCGCAGTGAAGAATGAACACCCCACTCAGACACAGTATACTGACTCCGAGCCGACTAGTCCTTGTTGTACCCATTAATGCCGAGCGCCAGGCAGGGACCAACAAATACCATATTTTAAGGTCTTTTGGTATGACGCGGTCGGGGATCGAACCCGCGACCTTCCGGTCTCCGGCTTTCTCTGAGGAACATATTGGTATGTTTGCAATACTCAAACGTCAAAAGAAAATATGAAAACACCATTAACTCTGTTCATTTCTACATGAAAGTACTATTATCGAGTTAAAGCCCGTTCCCCCAAACTGGACAATCAGTCAGATTTGGAAAAGTTACACGCCATCACATTTGCCAATGAAAATTTACGAAAGCATGTACCGACATAATGTCCATATATAATCACTTCTATGGTTATTATTAAATGTCACATGCAGTGATTTTGTTGGAATATTGTTAAAACTTAAAAGCATAAAAGCGGAGCAAAACAACATTCATTCACTCTTTCATGTGTGCATTTTATTAATGAATACGCTATTGATATGAATTCAAAACCTTTAACAGAATACCTTTCCTTTTATTAATTTACAGAGCTGCAGGGAAAACATACAATTATTTTCATGACCTTACATTTGAGTGAGTAGTTTAGTTTTACGCCGCTTTTAGCAATATTCCAGCAACATCACAGTGGGGACACCAGAAATAGGCTTCACAAACTGTACCCATGTGGGGAATCGAACCCGGGTCTTCGGCGTGACGAACGAATGCTCCACCGACTAGGCTACCGCACCGCCATTAATCGAATTTGAAGCATTGCCAAAGGAC